ATTATTGGACCAATCAAAAAGTTGTCAATCAGTGCGGCCCACACATTTACAGAAAATTTCACTTGAAATGTTGAAGCCCTTTTCAGCCTAGGGTTTTCATCATTTGGCACCACTTATGTAAATTACGACAGTTCACGATGCCGTCTCTCGTGAATTGAGATTCATCTGTCCACAGAATTGTTTTCGGGAATTCAGGATTGTCTCTTGTTTTGATTAAAATCCATGTAGACATAACGCACCTTGGACGCCAATCCACATCTTCATGCAAGTGCTGCACCCTTTGATAATGGTATGGATGCAACCCTGCTTTCCTCAAGATGCGCCAAACCGATTTCTGGGATACGCCATGACGTAACGCCAATCGTCTCGTACTTGTAGTCGGGTCAGCAAACAAATCATCCAAAATGGCTTCTTCGATAGCAACATGACTAATAACACCTGGTTCGCGGCGATCTCGAGGCAAACCAAGTCCAGTGTTAGCCAGTCTTCTATGTACTTCTTGGAAGTTACGGGATGATGGAGCAGGGCGTCGATTTGGAAATGCAGCTAGATAAGCCGTGCAAGCAGCTCTAGCGCTCCCTCGGTACATTCCATAAGAATAATGGATATCGGCAATGTGTGCCGGAGAGAAATCACTTATAATAAAGTTGGCAGGAGAAACACAAATAGCTGCCTAACTGCCCAACATTCAATTGTTTTTCAACTGGGCCCGCCTCTCCAGTCGTACTTCAGTCCGCGCGACTCTACATTGAATCACCAAAAAAAGGTATCTATACGTACATGATAAACAATGATGCCTAGCAAGACGATGCGCATGGGCTTTTTTATAAACACTCATAGAAACTATTACATTTGAGTAATAAACGTGCAATTTTTACTTTTATAAAGCTGATAACATGTAGAATAACTTACAAATAAAAAAAGGTAGGGTACAAGGGACGATATTTATAGAAAATTTGAAATTATTGTAAAAATGATGAAAAAGAAAACAGATTTTCATCAAAATTTTCTTTATTCTAAATGGATGTCATTACTTTTCCTGGAATTCTTCACTTTTCAGGCACGTCCTTTTATCAGCAATCATTACAAAATGTATTCCAATCTGATAGGACATTTAGTTTAAAAGTTGTAGCGAGTTATTTCAATATGGTTAGAAGCTGCTACTAAAAATATTAAAATACTCATATATTCATAAAAAATCAAATTCATGTTTTTTTGATAATTTATCCGTCTATGAAATAGAGTGTAGTTTCCCTAATTTTGATATGTTCACTTTATGAAGACTCACACTGTATAGATGTTTCATAAATAACTAAAATAGTTATCTATCAGATTTTGTCGAAAATTAAATAGGCGCTGACCAACATTTGCCGCATGTACTCGTACATGACACCAACACCAACTGCCATAGGCTAATACTAGGAAACCGACGTTTCCAAACACCAATTAATCTTTCTACTACATTGCGCGTTCGAATATGAGCTTCATTATAAAGATTTTCCGCAACATTGCCTGGATTTTGTAGAGGTGGTAGTCTTTCAGGTGATAACTACTATCTCCCAAGAGTACAGCTTTCTGAAATTGTCTCCCTTCAAAGCGTGTTCTTAGGTGGGATGCATTGAAAATAGCTGAAGCATGGGTAGATCCTGGCCCAGTAACTATTTGAGTATTTATAGAAAAATGCGACTTTCTATTACGAAAAGCTTATCAATCTTGAGCTCCAGGTGATTGTATCTTTATGTGTGTCCCATCAATGCATCCAATGACTCGTGGAAATCTTCAGATCCTATAGAAGCCATTCTGAACTCCTTTTATTTCATCAGCTTCATTTTGCATTCTGATATATTGATTTGATAGACCTGCCATTGCTCTTGAAACCTATACAATTATACGGAATGCTGTTGTCTGATGCATATTAATAAAGTCTCCAACACAATTCTGATGTGCATTGCAGGCATAAAATCGTAGGCATGTAAGGATCTGATTAATGGGCGATACACTATTATTCCTGGAAAAACAAAAATTTTCTAGTGATGACTGGAATGGAAATACCTAATGTGATTCAGATCCATAGCTAGAGGAAAATGTGTTCAAAGACGTTCCTGTCTAAGCTTCAATTCATGCCAAGGAAATTGATTATCGTAATTCAATATTAATGCTCTATTTGATCTAACAATCTGAGGACAGTGTTTTATTTGGAGCCGAAATCCTCTGAAAAACGATAGGTTTTAAAAAATCTTTACGTTCATAATAGGATCTTGGAAATCCGAAGCTAATAATATCTAGGATCTCACCATTATCTTCAAGGAAAATCTGATCGAGCGATCTGCATTACTTTTGCAAAAAAGCACTTTTTCGCAAAGAAATCAACATTTCGAAATACGGTTAGTACCCCAATCCGTCAATTTTCAGATTAACCTGCCATTACGCTAGGATTACGCATAAATGCGATTAGCGGGTGTCAAATGTATCGGTGCACATGAAAACGTGGCAATAGTCTGGATTAGTCGTTAATCGTACTTCTCTAATAGACGGTGAATATGGGCATTAAAGTCAAGAACAGTATTCCCATGCACCAACGTTTTCTAGCAAGTAATATTTTCAATCCGAAAACGTTGCAATTATGATCGGAAATTTAAGTTACAGTATTTGACAGTTCTGTGACATTCATTATTCTGAATACGTGATATCCAGACTTGACAAACAGGAGTCACGTTTTCTTTTTGGCATTTTTCAGGTAAAAATTAGTAGTTTTGGACATTGGTTCAATTATTTTTGTACAGTAGATTGTTGTCAGTATTGTAAATAGTTACGGCTTTAAAGTTTGGGCTATTCAAATGCATTCATATTCAGGTGTTAGGAAGTGCAACAGTAACGCGGTAACTAGAGTCGGTTCAATTAAAAATTTATTGAAAACAGGCACTAAAGAACTCAATGTCATGTCAAATATCTCTGCTCTAAGGCCTTTCCACAGTAGCCGCATTATTTAACGTTTGAGCTTGCTAAGACCTTCTTGGCCTGCCTAAACGCCTATGTCTAACCATGTCATAGCCAGTTTTTTTTTGGTTAAGCAGATACAAGGTCTAGGCATATAAATTAAAAGTTTAGCCACGTGGTGAAAACCTAGTAATAACTGCTTCTGTCATGAATGAATATGGTTGTATCCTTGTAATCAGTCTAATTATGTTTATGGTTGGTCGGTCTATAATATGAAATTGCATTGAATATTTCAGTACCTGCCAAACCATTGTAGCATATGCTGCATTCTATATATGGCAGTTGTGAAATGTGTTCCAAAACCAGGCACCCCACAAGCGACATATCGCATTTATCCATATAATTATAGTCCAGTGACAAGGATCAACATAACAATAGAATATGTAGGTGAAATAACTCGCGACAATAGTCACGGTGTAGTCAGCAATTTCTCATTTTTAGTTTTGCAGTATTCTTCAAAAAATACTTTAACAATAAATTATTCCCAATAGACTGAAATAAAGTATGGAACTTACCGTTCAATCCATAGCCTTCTTGTTTTTCCTTATTAGAGACTCTTAACAGTCACAAGAGCCGCTTACTTCAACATTAGCCTCAACCCTGTTTGTTATCTAAGTCAATTGTTTATGGGATCTATTCAAGAACTATTTGGTTATATTTAATTGGAGAGTTGAAAAGTACATTATAACCGAATATATGAAATTTTATTAGTCATCCATATTTTCTGTGATGGTTAAAATGTGTGCTAATTTACATAAATGTTCATCATCTTGCCTGATGTTGAACCACTAGGCGTTATGGTTAGATATTATCTAATCACGTAAACGTATAGTTTGCCTGACAAAGTTCACGTGGAAATGGCAAATCAGTGACATAACCTCATGCATACAAGTTTGATATTAGGATATCGTTTGCGTAAAAGTATCGATAAATACCCAAGGGTTAGAGATAACCACGGTCTGTATTTTGTAGCTAAATGCACAATTAATATTATAACCACCACTGGTTAAGAGAGCGGTTAAAACTCATTTCATAAGAGCAGGGTTTTACTTGTTATTATGCGATGGACTTCGAAAAAAATGACAACCAGGTGCTTCGATCTACTTTCATTTTATACTACTAGTATAAATATCCTAGCGAAATTTATAAAAAATCACGTGAATCCTGGATCTACAAGCTTGAGAGGCTAAGAAATCAAACAGAAATTTAATGTTTGCTTAATGATAATTTAAAACACTAGCTGATTGATAAAGCAAGTTTTAGTGTCCCTTAAGATTATTGAAAGGATAAAAAAAATATTAACTCAGAACTGGTGACTCTTGGGTTATCTAATTATACTATCATACTGGTGCTTCTAGCCTGTCTCGCTGTAGATCACCTTTCCCGGGACCGATTACAGCGTTACTAGGGTCTCATTGTTTTTGAGAAAATTTTCGAAGATGTCTTTTGGATGCCCCCAACCTTGGTAATTATGCGCACCTATTTGACATATTCCACTCATCCTGGATTTCTCTTCTTTCTCTTAAAATTTTCGTAGTAGACAGATAGCGTACCTACCTATCGCGGCTGCTGCTAGAGTCATGCCGTCGGCCTTGATGAGTGTTCTGATTTGGTATCACACGTATTTCTGGCGCGCAACAGCGTAGTGTTTCCTATGCCGTGCTGCCGCGGAGCCACGTCTGACCGAGTTAAGTATTGGGAAGAGGCGACGTTTCCAGATGCACCACCAGTAGTGCAGGGGAATAATGTCGATGGATTACTTGTATGGACCTGTTTGAATGACTTTTTTCAGAGGGACTGGTTTTAATATTTAAGGGCATTGCGTTACTTAATCCTTAATATTTTATCCTATATATACGAGCACTATATCTCTTCTAATTTAATCGTTCTAACAGAACGTCGTTTTCCTACCGTAATTATGTCCTGTACTATAATCGACATTTCCGTGCATCTAATTCCCCATTATATAAATGCGGTATCAGTCAGTTGCAACTCTCATCTATCCACGTGGCGGTGCATCCTGATGGCTCGCAGTAATTAATCAGACGGATCCAAACGGCTTGTTCGGTTTTCCGGAGCAGATGCTCCTTCAGCCGGAGGCAATTTTGCGGAAAACACAACGATACGCCCAGATGGATGCCGTACGGGCTAGACAAGCCGCCTTGACGTACTGTTTGTCTTTCACAAGTCACACGCAGGACTTAGGTATACCGTACGGTTGGAGATTGGGTCTTGAGAAAAAAGAGCAGAGGAGCTCGCAAGGAAATTTGTTTTTCAGTGTTTATCTACAAACAGATGTCTTTTATTATCAAGCTGTCAGTAAGATAAGAGAAAAGGTAGATAGATATTCACAGTATGCAGGAAATGGTGCCCGAAGTGAAATCGGTATTTGTCAGGTTACTTATCATATCTTAGTCGTGTTATCTCACTCTTGCTTATTGTAGCGTCAATCTATTTGATCTGTTAAAATCACCAGAAATATATTAAATCTAAATTTTGATGGTAAAACTATTCCTCATTGATACAAAATTTCAGATAGGCAATATCTGAAAAAAAAACAGTCAATAAATCTCACATTTAGAATCGCCGATCTAGATGTTCATAGAATAGACACTTATGATTTTCATAAAGCGTTATTTTTACCTGGTTTGAGGTAATTTTCGGAGTTACCTCTTTAAGATATAACTAGTTCTCAAAAAGTTCGATACCTTATACTCATCTTTTATGATCATTTCGTCTTGGAAATAAGAAATCAGCTCTTGAATTTTGACCAGATATTTATTTATTATCTTCTATAATTTAACGCAACTTACTATATACTAAATTGCGCCTTTCAGAAGTTATATCATATCGTGAGATTTCAAGTTTTAAAAAACTTAACACATCGACTTAAAACAGGTGCATTATATCTATTTTCTAGAGGATTACATTTACCATGAAATTTCGATGAACGTTATCGGATGCAAGTTTGATGACTAGTATGTCTTTAGGAATTCTCGTAAGGTACATTTCATCTAGATATTTATGACTTTATGTAGTTTTTTGCCACCATTTAGGTTTTCCTATAAAATTTAACAATTAGACTAGCTGACCTTCACTTAATGAACACGCGGCTACCTAGTGCACAAGTCGACATTTTATCGATTTTTTAACGTGGTATAGGTGTCTCATGTAATAAGTTGTTCTTGAACCTGGAAAAAATAAATTAGATCCAGGTTTTGAATGTGCCAAACAGCATTAATTTAAAAAAGTTAAAGTACAGTTGACGTATTTTAAACGGTGACTGAATTTTTTAACTCGTTGGTGGATTAAAAAATTATTACTTTATTTAATGTAGAATTTAACCCTAAAGCTTTTCTTACTATTGCTAATTTAAAAAAAATGCCTTTTTCAACGAGGTTCCGAATAACTAAACGCATGTATTGCAGCTGTGTCATTTAAAATTATAGAGAGCTCAAGCGTTGGCTCTGAAATGAAACGTCAGTGTGTTAATTAATTTCAGCTAAGTGCTCTAAAAATGTTCGAAAAATGTTCATTTAGTGAACAAGTTGACACGCTATTAGTGTTTTTCTGAACGAAACGACAGGGCGAGTATTGAAGGTTATTGGAAATTTACAAATCCTGTAACTCCTTACAGAGATTGCAGTCTAAGCACAGGATGAAAAACTTATTTTGAATAGAATTGAAGATGGCCTAAATATTACTACCAGAAATCTATCGAGTCAAACTGGTATATCGCAAACTTTTTTGCACCGTGTTATAAAACATAATCTACTGGACCCATGCAGAGGCAAAAAGAACAAGAACTGTCGCTGGAAGATTTATCAAAGCATTAACTTTCTAAAGAAAACTCTCTTGATCTAATGAAGGTTGTTTTATTCGCGGATATAATAAGAACTATTATCAATATTCCGATGTAAACCCTCCATTAAGTAACACCTCGACTCTTTCAATTCAGGCTTAGACTAAATAATTATATTGGTAATATTGATCGCTTTTCAATAATTGGTCTACTTGTCAGTACAACTTAGATGACGGAGCATCGCCTCATTTTAGTATTATGGTTCTGGACCTTATAAACTACCAGTATCCAAATAAGCGGATTGAGAGAGAAAGCAATTGCCCGCAAGGTTGGCCTCCACGATCGCCAGACCTCAATAAATGTGAATTCCTTCGTTTGGCAACGTTAAAATATTCTGTGTATTCATCTGCAGTTGCATCTCGAGCGGAGTTGTGGAATCGCATTACAGCTGAATGCACACTCGTTAGTAATAATCATTGGATAAATGGTAGACTTCATTTTTGTTGAAGAATAAATTTATGCCTGAAAAGAAACGATGATCATCTTGAACAATTTCTGTATCTTATCAGTGCAAATATGGTACTATCTTTATTGTTTAGGTTGATTTTTTTCTATTAAATTATTGTTGATGTAAGTTTTTCCAGATTTAACAATTTCTGTAACTTTATTAAGGAAATTCCGTTCTTTTTATTGTTTAAGTTGCTTGTTTGTCTGTCAAATTATTGTTTCTAACTACTATCTTTTAACCTGATTGTCAAGTCTGTCGTTTAATTATTTATCAAATTCAGCCAATGTTTGATCTTTAGTAATTTTAAATAACACCGCTGCAGAACATGCCTTTAGTTATTCGGGTTTTAATTGGATGCGACAGTCTTTTTGGATGAATAATTTTTTAAGTCCATGTCCCTTTCCAACCCTCTAAAATGCTTCATTTGAACGCTAGTTACTGTCAAGCAATGCTCCTTGATACACCCAAAACGTGTACCAAATTTGCTTTTTCTGAGTTGAAGGATAACTGGGATGTCAATTTTCTTCGAAATTTGAGACCCCGTCTGTACAGCCTCTTCTCAAAGGTGCAATTTAGTATTGTGTTGTGTCGAATTACCGTATTTTGGGTTCTCCTACATGACTCGCTCTGTGTAGGGTTTCACTGAGTATTGTGATTAGTGTGTTGGTAGATATTGTTTATTTAAATTTTTTTAGTCATACTCTTCAATCATGAATATTGCATTTTTTCCTCTTTAAAAGAAGGGTAATTAGCAATAAAAAAAAATCGCCGATAAAAGTGTTCATAGTTACAATCCTTGTAATATTTTTGTCTTCCGAAAACACGGTCGCTAGCTAAAGATACCTGCGGTTTTCAACGGTAAAATGTAAAAAATTCGTTAAGCGTACATCCTTTACGGAGCTGTGTTAGGAAAGTAATGACTTAATACAACGTCATTAAAATAATAATGATTTAGACTTAAAAATTTAAAATACGATATACCTGCAGATGAGTTTTGGGACCTTTTTGTATTATTTTGCAATATACTTTAAATTTTTTATCCTCTATCCAAATGGCTTACACAGCATACATTCTGATAATGCCTTACTCAACGTTTTCATTTTTTATTTCCAGAATGCGAGAATACGTGGAGGAAAACGAGAAAAACGACCCTCTCATCCATGCACCGGACAAAAAGAACAACCCTTGGGCTGAGAAAGGAAAGTGTGTGATTATGTAGACCGCACAACTACATATTTCCACCAACCCTTTGTCTTAAGCGATTATTTTTTATTCTGCTTTGGAGTGTGGGTGGTTCCAGACGGCATTTACTTACTTTTCTTTATTGTGATCTACTTCGGCTGCTGTTAGCTTCAGTTGTTTATTTAAGCATATTTATTACCCTAAGATGCTCTTGTTGAAAAATTGTTATGTAGTTGAATACTCATATTTTCATGGGAAAACGTCTGAGATTTAAAGCGGAAGGGTCAATAGGGTTATCTCGTCAGATTTGTCGATATATATGTTGTCAGCCGTCTTTTTACAAGTAAGCTTAAACTTTTTTGTTCCTCGATAATGTTTTAACTAATGTAATCATTTTATAATCAATCAATACAAGATAGTCTAGTCACGTATTTTATACAGGCGTAATTTTGAAGAATTCAGCCTAATCTAAATCTGAACCTGATTATGTCTTCCTAGCTTTTTGAGAGCAACATCACATCATCAACTATTAACATCGGTGATATAGTTCTCAAAAAGCGGCAAAGTAGCTTCACTACTTACCCGCTAGATGTCTTTTTCAACAAAAATATTCCTAAGAGAGATAGATGATTTACACACACTCGTATGACAATTTTTCTAGCGTTCAAACCGAAATCCTAAACCCGAAGTTTCAGTTTGAACGCTCCACTAACTTACAACATTTAACTGAAACAAGTCTATTTGACGCCAAAATAGAAACGACGGTTTTGTTTCTGGCATCTTGACTTAACTAATAACGTTCTAAGAGAGATAAGATGACTTAAAATTGGGCGGTAGTCCGCACTTAAACACTATACTATACTTTGACGTCTCGATAGGAACAGCAACCTTAAATTCCGTTTTAGACGTCCTCAAATATGAAATCTACTGATACTAAAATATAGCGGTGTCCCGCTGATTAACTATGTCTAAATGTTGTCTAAACAGAAATCCAGATTATCTGTGCTTTCACTTTGACTAAATCTAACTTAGTGATTCTTAAAAGATAAATCCTGAAAACACACTGATGGGACGACTTAACCCAATATTTAACTTCAATTTAAGGAGTTTTGCTTCTGCTTTCCTAGGTCTTGCATGCCTGAAGTAGTGCTGTAGCTTAGGTTGAATTGGCGAAAAGCTGATATATTTAAACATGTATTAACTCAATACTTTCTTAGGCATAATTATAACGAATTTAAACATTTTGAAGGATTAGCTTAAACTTAAACCAAACAGCTTTGGTATGAATCAGCGACAGTAACAGTATTATTATATTAGTTTTATCAGTATCTCTAACTATATTTATATCATTATCGTAAAACAAGCCGGACACAAAATTCTTGTCTGTCACCGAACCATAAGGAATTAATATCTATCAAAACTTACTAGTCACTAAAATAGGATGTAAAGTCACCATGTTGCTGCAGTTTGCCCTTTCGGTCTGAGTTCTTCTGAAACAGGCATACCTCACGAATGGGACTTTACATACTTTTTATCTTTTTAACGGTTTATAGGAGAAAAATGACCCATTCTTCTGTATTCCTTCTATTCATAACTACTGTATGTAAGTATATATAATCGCTTATAAAATTTAACTAGTCTTAGATGTAGAAGCTCTTCGTGTTGACTACGTTAGTGTACACCACAATGCACACAGAAAAATTATGGAAAACATCAAAATATGACTTTATTCTATGATATTAAAAACTGGGCTATAAACGATCTTCCATATATCTACAGACAACTGTCACCGGCTTTGATAAGCTTTTGATAGCTTATCGAAGGCTGAGATAGTGATGACAGGTGGATCCTACTTGATATTAGACTTACTCTTAGGCTAGGTTGAATTCTGAAGGATTTTGAAGTTTACGTAAGTTAATTGAAGTTACAGGTATTTCAATTATATAATGTAGTTTGAATAAAAAGCAGTATACTTATATATTAAATAAATAACGTTTTTGTGAAATTTTGTTTTATTCGAATCGATTTATTGTGCCATCACGGAGCCACACGTGAATTCGTATTGATTTGTCAGTTCCTATTAAAACCTTCATTCAAAAACGTATAATAGCAACATCTAGTATAACTTAAATAAAAACTGCAAACATTATTTTCATGTATTTGTTAAATTGAAAGCCTATAAAATCTTCCTTCAATGGAAAAGATAAGCTTTGTTTGTCATTTTGCTATTATAGTTATAGTTCATACATCAGATACTACATCACTGTATCAATTTTTGTGCAGCAGGCTTATTGTAACATACGTCGAGTAAAATGCGTCTAGGCTTTTTCGATGTGAGTATGCGTATTGATAAGCGAAAGAATTAATTACAAATCTTACAATTGGACTCGATAATTTTAGGCGGATTATAAATATAATACCTTACTAGGCTTGAAATGCGACAAGCCTTCGCGGCCATCATCCAATGTTATTTGGTTGGTTTTTGGGTAGTTAGGCCGCTACTGTAGCTCACATAACTCCGAACTGTGAACACCTTCTGAAGATGACAACCACTCGTGTTGGCGAAACGTCAAATAAAAATATTTTACGACGGCCTAACTACCCGAAAAAAAATCAAATAACTTACTAGGCTTTTTGTTAGAAAGAATTCGTACGGATTTCACTAAGAAGTACAACATTGTATCGGCCCAACAATATGGATTTCAGGAAAGAATCAACACAAGATGCAATTAAGCTCCTAACTACCCTATTCTATCATATGGTATACTAGCATGGACAGAAGTGGATACTAAAACTGGTATTTCATAAGGAGATTACATATCCAATTTAGAATCTCAGCTCCCAGACGTTAGACAAATTTACTTCTACAATGGATTGATGTACCACATTAAAACTAAGATGCATCTAAGTCCCGTCAGTCACCACTATCAAACAAGGTTTAAACAAAATCCAGTAACTGTGCGAAAAGCTACAAAAGCCATCGGTCGAAGGCATCTTCTCTGTTTAGGCCCAAAATTCTTCAATCATATTCCAGCATCAATAAAGATGATCAAAACATCAAAAGGTTTTGGAAAACATGGATTATACAGGAACCAAGGAACTCGATCCATAAACTTATAGGTCGAATTTCTGCCTGCGCGAATATATTCCCATTCGTATCTTTTCCATATTCTTGTGCCTCTCGCCATTAAATTTCCCTGAGAACATTATGCAACACTCTGTATATACGTCTTATAACGCGGCATGTGGGTATAAAACGTTTTGCGTTTACAACAAGGTACTGCTGAAATAAACTTTATACTAATGTTGTGTAGTATTATTTCTCTGTTATGTTTGCTTTTGGTTTTTGGCATAAATCTGGTCTATCGAAGTAATATAAAATCAATATCTTGAGGTCACGTTTATGGTTTACCGTTACTTCTACAGTCTCTCATAGTAGTCACCACTATACACAAGCATTTTCTTTAAATTCAGAACACATTTTGAATACAAATATCTTGTACAATTGCGCAAATAAAATTGAATAATGTATATATAACTTGCTGGAGTTGGCCTGGGGTACTACTAGTATGATATGCCGAACACACCTGGTATTAGATTATAACTGATTTCACCTAGTCGTATTGCAAAATAATTACCCATGGGTTCTTTTTAACAAGATGCCGAATTCATATATGTATTATCATACGCCTAGACTAATCAGGTCATATTGTACGATTTTTAATTGTTTGGTTCGTCCTCAAATACGTCTAGACACGTATTGTAATACACCTGGCTATGCCGACATATACAGGGTGTAAACGTTATTATAGTCAATATTTAAATTGGTGATAGAGGGGGTTAAAAGAAGCAAAAAGTTTCATATATAACATGGGCGTCAAAACGGCATATATTAGAGAAAAGCGACTGAAAGTAAAACAAAATCTGACAACGCCGCAATGTCAGACGCAAATTATGACGGAACGCCTTGTAAATAAAGATGGAGTTTGTTATTTTTGGCACTTAGGTATTATTTCATTATTTGATAATGTACTCGTAAAATGCAAACAATTAAAACGTACTAACCACTAACTGTCTCAGCGCTTCACCTAGTGTGTGAAAGTTTATTGAACGTATTAAAAAAATCCACTTATAAATAGGGAAAACAATTTTGATACATACGAGATTGTTTTTCTTTTTAAAACCCACACTGCACTTTTTTGTATTTAAAGAAGGTGTTCAAAATGTCGTCCTTCACTTTCCACACAAGCTTCATGACGACGAACCCAGTTTCTTCCTACTCTGGGTGCTCGAAGTTGTCCATTTATTATTTCAGTCGCATTAAAAATTTGCTCGCGAAGTTGTGCTTCAGTTGTTATTGGACCAACCCCATAAACCATCCCTTTAAGTTCTCCTCAATACCAGAAATCCACTGGATTGAGGTAAGGAGATCTTGCTGGCCATTTTCGAGGATCAGGAACATTTCGACCGATCTAGCGATTTGCATAATATTCATTCAAATACTGAATGACGCCACTAAATATGTGTGGTGGTGCCCCGTCATGAAGAAACCACAAATTCTATCTCCGTTGTAATGGCTTGTTGTCTAAGGTCTGTTCCAAAAGTTTTGGTAGGTTATTGGCTTGAAAGCTAACGAATCCTGCTCCTGACAACTTTGGGGGTAACTCGAAAGGGCGAATTACCTGATAGTCAAGAATACCCGTCCAAATATTTATTTTAAAACGTGTACATTCGTCCGTCGCTAGAATGTTTTTAAAAAAAAAATCCGAATTTTCAATGTTTTTGTGCAAAAACCACTGACAGAATGTTAGTCAACGAAGATAGTCTTCTGGTAACAAGGCTTGCACTCATTGAACATGGTAGGGATAAAGCAAATTTTCCCGTAGGATTCTATTTACTATGGTATGCGATAGTACGCGGCGACCTAGTTCCCGCGTGCTGATATCTGCATTGATCTCCACGATATTTAAAATTTGTTCCTTCTGCCCTACAGTAACCTGTCTTTCACGAGTGCGAATATTAGTGGGCTGAACACTTCATGTATCTCGAAGTCTTTGGTACACTTGCACAAATGTCCTTCTGTCTGTGTGTACCCGTTGGAGCAATCTGTCGCGATAAATTTGAGCTGCAAGATTTGAATTCTGGCGAGTTTCACCGCAAACTAACAACATATCGGCGAACTCTTGATTCGAGAACATTGTAAATAAACACGGCGACGTCCGCGAACTATAACTAACCACTGTTACCGTCTGCGATCGATTGCCGGTTCGATAAGAGTGATGACTGACCGACGCGCTGTTGTCATGTGTGTTTTAAATATTTAATTTAATGAAACTTACTGACTACAAATTTTGACTTAACTTAGAAAAACTTAATGCCATTTATTTGTTAATTACCCAATTTAAAAACGTTTTAGATTAGATTATAAAAATTAGTAAGAATCTGGTGATTGTGCTCGATATAAAGCACTTAAAGTTGTAAACTATAAAGCCATTTAGAAAATCTATTGGCTTTTGGAGCATGGGTCATATTATGAACTTTTTGACTTGTTTTGACCCCCCTATTACCTATTTCAATGATGACTGCCATAACGTTTACACCCTGCATATTCAACATATAATCCCTTTGTAACAGAGAAGTGCTTAATAAATGAATAAAATATATAAAATCTCATATTGGATCCATCTTTAGCGCGGATAAAGTTATCCGTAAGCGTCTACCAAAAACCTCCGGACCACTTAGGTACTGTATGTTCTGCAACCAACAATGCGTGTAGTTGAGTCATTCCTCCATAGATGGACACTCACAGCGATCATAGCGAGCAAACGTGGAATGAACTATTTGCACCCTAAACACTAGCTAGTCTGCAAGATGACATTTTATTGTTTTTTTTTTGAAGTTTTATAGGTTTTTTACATAATAGCCGTGCCGCACCTACTAGCTTTAATAAGCAAGTAGGTATAGTTTGTCTTGCCTTTGGTTGGCTTAATAATGAAGTCAAGGATGTTGATGTTATCAGTATTTCAAATGTAACTGAATTAAATATCTTCGAACGACTATTTTGTGTTAATCATTTGGAAATATTGCAAATTGTGAAATTAAATTGGATTCAAAATTTTTGATGAGGCGAACCTAGTAACATAATATAAGTATAGGTAACTACCTATCAATAGACGAAGCCATTTTTTAAATGTCATGTACTCGTATGTACTTACATGATTATGTTGTATGTTATTTTACAGACTAAAAGTGAATGAATGAAAGCTTGGAAACTGTATGTTTTAAGGAGCAATTCCTATAACGAATACATATTTTTTAGGCATAGTTAACAGCACCCTGTATACATTTGGTTGTAAATATAATGCAAGTCAAGGATAACAGATGGGGCAACTGACACTGGTCAGAATACTATCGACCCAGTTTCGTTTGTTATGGATTAGTGTTCGGCGCCATCATCAGATGGCGCTGTTGACAGTGGTATCACGAAACATAGGGAGAGTGATATCGATAGTGTAGTAGTAGTTAATAATCTGTGATGGCAGTTGAAAATTTCAAGATGGCAGCTGCGCACTATTTAAGAGCAGTTGTTTAAGTTCAATTTCAATGGAGGTCGTGTGATTCCTTATTAGTACTTTATAATCCTAGAGTATACATATATATATATATATATATATATATACAGTCACTACTTCTCAAAATCGCCTTTAAAAGTTGAGCGTTTCTGTACATTCAGTCGCTTATAACTCAACAATCAATTATCAAAGCGATATGATAGGTATGCGATCTATCCGAATATGAAATAGAATATATAATATTTCATTTGAAAAATTGTGAAAATGTGTACATTTTTTTACCTGTATTCTCCATATTCTATTAAACATACAGAACTCGAAGTACCCTTCCAAATAAATATAATGCGCTTAACTTTAACAGCCACTTTCTGTCCGTCATTTTGAAATATACGGATCTTAAATTCTAGTGCTATAAAGTACTCCTAAGGAGGCACCCCTTTCCATTTAAAAAATGTTACAACATATAGTTAGTATTCATGCGTCAATTTCACCATTCAAATCCGTTCGGTGGTAGCATCTCGAAGATGATTTGAATTACGGGTAGAGCAACTGCATCAAGCAATAAATGAAAACATTTTCATGGGATCATAAGTAATATCTATTTATAAAGTCGGTTACAAGATTCGTGCCTTCGATCCGCGCAACGTTCTAGATATCTAGATCAATTTATTTCATTGTTATTGTATATAAATAGCATTTATTGCATAATGCTTCTCCGTTTCCAAAACTGCTATATAAAAGACAAGGAAGATGTTCAATCGACAAATTAATTTTCTCTGATAGTGCCTGTCGTGTAGGAGGGCAATTTACGGCCCACTTTTGACCAGAAGCACCATCTGTGATCGAAATCCTATATTACAGGTATACAATTGAGATGGCTGTTTTGAATAACAGACCTGAAGGATATGTCATTTATCTGATAGGTGGTGCCAGTTACCAGGAGAATGTACACTGTAGACTGATTCCAAAACTTGGCTTACAGTAGTAAATATCGTCGTTAGATGGCCATGTAGAGACAAGCATCTGTCAGCACCATCCAACGCGTAATCTGCAAGCTATGCTTCGTTGAGACATGTACCTTAATATTCGATGATTAAAAACCTATTAAACGTCAAAAAAAAAGACAAAATGTGAACTTGCTGCCTAGATTGTGCTTAGTGTGCAAACATTACATTCTGGGTAATGTCATCGTAAATCGTAATCGAGAGCGTTATCTATGGAGGAATGACTCAATGACACGACACGCACAATAATCATGCTGCAAGCTGCAAGCTGTAAGTCAGTTGCCCAACATGCACATCTGGATGATTGGTCTACAAACTACAGGGCAATCACTGTGCCGTCTGTACTTTCTAAAGTGTTTGAAGATGCCTTTTTGGATAGACTTCTTTACATCTTAAGAACAAAAATATTTTGTCTCAAAACCAGCATGGTTTCACAGATGGTAAGACCGCAATGTCAGCGATACATTCCTTTTATGAGAAGCTTATAGAATACATCGACGCGGGCGAGTGCCTTACTGGGGTATTTTGTGATCTCAGTAGGGCATTCGACTGCGTTGATCACAACAAATTCTTGGAGATTGTTGTTAAATATGGTTTTGTCGGTCAGTCTCTTAAATGGGCCAGATCGTTTTTAGTCCAAAGAAAACAATATGTTTCAGTACAATATCTTGATGCATGGAATAATATGAAAAACTTTGTGTCAAGTACGTTAGACATCTCGATTGGAGTCCCCCAGGGCTCTATTCTTGGACCAATCTTTTTCCTCCTTTACATTAATCAGTTTGATAATGTTCATCCAGATACCCATTTTACAGCATATGCTGATGACGTTTCTGCCATAATATTAAGTAATTCAAATATAATTTTGGAAAATAAATGTAACAACTTAATTAGGAATATCAATACATGGTTTAACCAGTACTCACTTTACTTGAATCCTGTAGAAGAGTTTAAAGTTAGATTTGGTGACGATCAACTCGATTTTAGAGTAGAAGTGAAATTTCTTGGAGTTCATATTGATTCGAACTTAAATTGGAAGGCCCACTGCGAATTTCTCACATCAAAAATGTACTCTCAACGCTATGCGTTGAGGCAATTAAAAACCGTCTTAACAGCTAAACAATTGATACAAGTTTATTTTGCTAATGTGGATTCGAGATTAAGATATGGAGTATGTTTCTGGGGTTGGTCAACGCGCTCTGAAGATGTATTTGTGTCTCAAAAAGGATGCATCCGATCATTCGCAGGCAACTCACCAACAGAAAGTTGCAAAAAAATATTTTATGTTTCAAAATTTTAACTGTTCCTTCGTTGTATATATATGAATTGTGCTTACATGTTTTTAAAAATAATGAACAATTCAAGCGGAATTATGATATGCATAATTATGATACAAGGACTTGTAATAATTTATATGTAAACTTCAGCAAATCAAAAGCGGCATTTCGATCACCTAATAAAATTGGTCGGCTTCTTTTTAATAATTTACCATGCCACATTACCTCGGTTAAAAATATTAACGACTTCAAGTCCCAGTTGAAGCAACTTTTGATAAACAAGTGCTTTTATCGTGTTGATGAACTTTTGAACATTGCAATTTGAGATTACTTGTAGGCTTGTAGCGAACGAAAAATTGACAATTCCAATAATTATATATGGTCTGTATGGAAATAAAGGTTACTGATTGATATTGATATTGATTGTGTATAAAATATCAGTGATATTTGCTATGTGAGAACATTATTACTGAATATGCTGCAAATGAAATATCTGGATAGCTATATAGCTATTGGCAATCAAAGAAGGGTTATTTGTGTTGTCCTTTCTGAAGAGAGGTTGTGTTCAAAGTTGTACACTACGATTTTCCCAGTTTTTTCTTGCGTTACAGAAAAATTAGGAATGGCGCATCACATACAAAACATTTTCGCATTACCACACATCTAGGCGCTGATTTGTATTCGCTACTTGGCGGAGTAAAATAAATTTCTATAGAATTTAAATGACTGTAAAAAAATTAATGTGAAATGGAAAAACTTTTTTACGTTTCATACATATTCCTCTGTGTACCATACTTTTTCACCTGTTAGTTTGGATAAACCACCAGGGATTTTCTTTTGTTATCGCTCTCTTTGTTGAAATTCAGCAAATCTGCAGATGTATGTATTCCATTTTTAGCTTGGCGTACATCTCAAGTAAGTGTATTTGAGACAAGCAACCAATGGAAATATCATGAACATGGATTATTGGCATAAGAATCCCCACTATGCACTGCCGTTTCCTTCCAGCTATAGTACACAACTTACACCCTAGACCTCCAATAATGCCATCTCTGAAGCAGATGTTACATCACACCAGAGCCAAACGTTGATAGCTGGAACATCATGGATCTTTAGGCAACACGTACAGGTACAGAACGAGAATACAACAGCTAGTGCTAAGTTAACAACTTGTAAAAAGACCTACATAATGTCACAAAAAAACCATATATAATGTCAAAAAAACCAGTGTCACTTTTCAAGATACGCAATGCCCCTGCGAAATGTCCTTCAGCTCCGTGGAGCCTATATACCAGGAGAACCGACTAGATGGGAAAAAATTACCAAAAAACCTGACGCCTGGCTGAGGGCACATCCTAGGTTATAGAAAATATTAATCTCAAACTGACAACTTGTGCTGATATCACAGTTTGATACTAAACAGAATACTGAAGTGTCCCACGTAGGGCCCTAAAAGCCAATTGAACCTACAGATTTCACAAATAACTTCTGCGTTTATAGTTATAAATCCCACTTTATACGGCTGATTCTTCTTGCGTGAGATTGCACGATTTTAGTCTAGTTTCAGAAAAGAAATAGGATTGTAGTTTTCTATATTTTGGCTAGTAATCTAATCAGGATCATTCTTGTCTGTTAAATCTACACGGATAGCTTCACCAATTTTGTTTCTCGGGACGTTAACATTTTACGACTACTGTTTCCATAGTTATATATCACACTGAGGACCTTACCCTTTCTAAAACACCTGGAATATATTCTTGCATATGTTGGTTATGCTAATCTATAACTGTGGCTTTTGGACGTAGGATGGAGTTTTTCGACAGCATTTTGGAGAATAGCGGGAACAATGAATATGTTACTGTTCCCTTTCGTTGAACATCAAAAGTTATTCACAAACAGCTAAATAACGATAGCAATTTCAAATAGATTTCCGACTATCTACACCGAGGCTCACAAAAAAACAAAAACAGTTGAGTTTATTAATTTACAATGAGCTTAAAGGAAAATCGGTTTGATGGTAACGTTGCCAGATGGGTCGGACAGAATTTCCTCAGAACAAGCACAACAGTCCTCAGAACTGCTACTTTGTCAAAAAATCCTCCGAATATCAGTCAATTAATTTACAGGGTTAGGTTTGATTCAAAGAGCGGGGGATAGTTTCGATCCGCAAAACGTGTGATATCCCCAGAACATTGTACCTCTAAAACATTTCCCAAGTAAAAGATAAATGGGGAAATTTCCCAAAATATCAACCCTATCAAAGCACCACTGGCACTCTAGTCGTCAAGTTTTATATATGCCATCCGGCTACCGCTAGATGTTTTGGATAGAATAGAGGCATGTAATCACTCAATGTACTGGATACAATCTCTGTAACTCAAAAATAGTGCCTCAGCATGACTGAATCTGACGTTTCAGTTTGATATTTCCAACGAATACTAAGGAAGGACATTTCCGTATTACTTTTCACTAATTTGTTGCATCTTATATGTATATTCTTACCTACTGAAGAAGTACACGTAACCAGTTGCCAGAACGAGGTATGACGTGATACAAGCATGTTTAAGATTTATTACTTTCTAGAATAAAAATGCTAACGTTCTACGTTATTTAGGACGTACGTATATTAACTGGAGAATTTGATAGTTGCAAGCAATAACCTCCCCGGAGCTTGACTTGTATCGGAATCACTATATGCTTAAGAATTCACTACGATGTAAGTAAATGCACTCATTTGTAGACGGCTATAACCTGCAGAACATTTATTCGATAAAATATGCATAACTTGAAAGGAATACAGAGTCCTTGAATATCCGTTATCCAGCCATTAAAGAAGATCCAAGGTTACATATTTCATTGCTAACATAAATCTTAAGTTCAATAACGAGGTATATAATTACATATATTATGCTAATTGATTTCAGTTAATTTGTAGTGATGTTGAAGTTGCAGCAGCTGTAGCGTAAGAGAAACAGCTTCAGGAATTGTCTTCCATTGAGAAGCGGGAAGAGTCTATGTGTCATCCTGAAATAGAAAGTACTAGTTAGTATTGTCAGGATTCAAGATATACATATTTGAGGGTGTGAATCTACATGAAAAATTAATGTTAGTTTGCTTTATAAACTATGGTCCAAAAATGCTTCCTTTCAAAAACTCGGGGTGTTGAAGTTTTAGGAAAAAAAATGGAAATTAATTGATATTTTCAGAATTCCTTCAGATATCTCACTGATATTCAGTATGTAGTGAAAGTGAATAAAGTTGCATACTTTTCAATGCAAAAATAGTTTTTAGCTTTAACAGTGGCGTGTGTACCAGTATTTAGTTCGACATCTTTTAAGAAAAAAATGATACGCCAATGGTTTTTTGCCAAATAAAAATTATTTTTGAATTTTCCATTCAATTTGTAACAAATGATCTCTTGGATTGTTTTTTTCGATGTGCCATTTTTGAGTAAAAAAATAAAAACCGTTCTATTGTCCGAGAAAATTAATGTAATAATTGAAGAATGCAATTTAGCAATAAATGTCTAGTTGCTATGGAATATGTCACTGGCTTTTGACATGTGACAAGTCTCTGTTATTCAAATCTGTTCGCTGTAACATCTTTTCATTATTTAGTTTTTACAATCTTGTTAATAATGGTGTATTATTCAAATGCAGAAATGGCGGAAATGTATTACGTATATAGCGTTGCCGACGGTAATGGTGAGCAAGCCAGACGGATTTATCACCAGAGATATCCCGATCGTGCTTTGTCAGATAGTCGAACCTTTTCTAATATTCATCGTCGTCTTGTTGAAACTGGTTCTGTCCGAAAAGGAACATCTGAAGGTAGACCTCTAAGTGTGAAATCACCTGAAATTGAGAAAGCAGTGCTGCACGAAGTCGAAGAGACATTTAAATATTTGCCTTCAAATTGTTTGGAGAATTTTAGTGGATTTTTTTGTTATATCCTTAACCATATTTTAAGAGTACAGTCATTACTTCCCATTGATTTTCCAAGGCGTGTGACCTTTTGTCAGTGGTATCTTCAAAAAATTATACAAAATCCGCATTTTGAATCAATGATTCTGTTCACGGACGAAGCTAATTTTTCTCGAATTGCCATTCAGAATAGCCACAATAATCATTTGTGGGCAGAAGAAAATCGAGAAAGAAGAAACGTATATGCAGGAATTATTGGCAACCACTTTATTGTCCCATTCTTCTTGCCGGGACGACTTGACGGACAGACGTACCCCAATTTTCTTCAACAACAGTTGCCTTTGCTGCTTGATGATGTCCCGTTAGTAATAAGAAACAATATGTGGTACGTGCATGGTGGTGCTGCAGCGCATTTCAGTGTGGCGGTTCGTAATTATTTACAAACTGTTTACCCAAATCGTTGGATTGGCCGTGGTGGGCCCCAAGAATGGCCACCAAAGTCCCCAGACCTCAACAGTTTCGATTTCTTTTTGTGGGGCTATCTTAAGACACTACCGTATACAAGTCCCATTAAAACTGTAGAGGAATTAAGAGAAAGAATAGTTGCAGCTTGTGATGGAATAAAGATACTCCAGCGATATTTCAACGAGTGCGCAATTCCATGAGAAGGAGTGCGGAAGCATGCATACTAAGTGGAGGGGGCCATTTTCAACAATTTTTGTAATCATTTCGTTGGTTTTAATGTTATGTTTATGTTGTCTGTTGTTGTTTATTACTCCTAGTGTGTTCAATTTTTCCAATTATATTAATAATGATTTTGCAAGTTTGACAACAGAACGGTTTTTATTTTTCCACTCATAAATGGCGCATCGAAGGAAAACAATTCAAGAGAGATCATTGGTTTTAAATTGAACGGGGAATTCAGAAATTTATTTGCTAAAAACCGTTGACGTACCATTTCTTTCTTAAAAAATATCGAAGTCAATACCCGTATGCACACCACTGTTAAAGCTAAAAATTATTGACTTTATGTGAACAAACGTGGCAAAAAGACACTCCAAAGTTCAAATACTCAAATATTCTATATATGATGATATGATTGTGCTATCAGGACGAATCCAATGATATCTCAAATATCAAAATTCGTTTGCCTATAAAATAGAAATTTCAATGTTGACGTGTATGCTTAAAATCCGATTGTATAAAATTTTGATATACACAGTGTCACACTGTCAAAGCAAATCTGGAAACAACTCAGATGTAAAATCCATCAAGCCATTGAAGGCGTTGTACTGGAATTTCAAAGTTGATTTTTTTTATTATAATCGTTCATTTTGATATCATAAAATTTCGGTATACCCGTGGTCAATCACTCCGACAGGTAATAATATCTAGAAACATCTCATATGTCAAGATACATAGAGCCATTTAAACTTGAATCTCAAGCTTGATCTTTTTTAGGGCCGTATCGTCAGTCGTTCCTACAATTGTAGGACGCATTTATGGCCTCCTTGATTTTCATAGTTTTCTACTGTTACGTGTCAGCGCTCTATTTTGAGGTTATGTTACAAATGTCTATTTGCATCAAATTATTCATGCTTTTCATTTATATCATCTGTTACATAGCCTGAAATTTCCTACAATTCAAAAAGAAAACATAGCCTCAAAATAGAGGAGCGCTAAAGCTGACACGGAACAGTAGAAATCTGGAAATTCCAACCCTTTCTGAAGGAGAGAAAAGGATCAAGGAGTCAATTAAGGCGTCCTACAGTTGTAGAAACGACAGACGATACGGCCCTTATTAAAATCCTTTGTACTTATAAAATGTGTATATAGTCAGAGTCAATCGCACTAAATTTTATCTCTACATACCCCCCCTTTTGAGGCAGTCGTGTATAAACTGTTGCCAACTGGCAATGCTACTGACGGGTTACTGTGATACAGGATGAAATTGCTGCAGTACCGGACCGCCCGCTGATTACTCTCAATGTTACAACAAATATGTGATCCAACCGTAATGAGTTTTTCCATGCATAGAATATGACCTTACTTTGCCAATGAAGTTAAGCTTTTGCCACAGATGTGCGAAATACAGCTTTTTCAATCTGGAATTCACACAGTATAGATGAAGTGAGTGATCACGTCTTATCCATATTCCTATGTTTTCTTCCAATCTACATACTTCAAACCTTACTACCTAGTCTTTGAAGTGAGGGAGCTTTACTTTTACAACCAATTATTTCATTCTTATTCTTATTTACTTTATTTAGCTGGTTTTCGGGATCATTTGCCAGCAAGGCATTTCCGAGCTAGCCTAATTTGTCAAAAATAGGTACAACTCATTTTTATATGGAAACTTCCCCAAAATACGTATACCATTGCATGACATAATTTCAAGAGTCATAATCTCAGCATCAACGAAACGTCTTCCGAATGAGTTGTCATGTGGATCCAAAATCACTATATTATATTAAAGATGCTTCGTCTCCAACAGAAAAGGAAAGCGTTGGCGCGGCGTACATGAATTTGAAATATTAAGCTCCCCGACTTTGCTCGTCCATTATATTAAATTATTATCAGCTATGTTAACAATGACGGTGGATTAAATGAACGCCTTTTCCGTTCTAGGTAACTCGTTAATGCTTCACGGATTATCATTGAATGAAGGCTGTACATGATATATTTAGAAATAAGCTTCTAACACACTTTTCACACCCACGTACTTTGCTAGCTAGTATATTTTCTTAATAGCTCAGGTTTCTCACATGTTCTACCGTAACTGCATGGTCTTAAAAATCCATATACTTATATGGATATATATTATATATCGCACCCAATTAAAGGCGAATATTTCTGGTTGTTCTGATTGCCCGTGGCTTTGTTCAATAGCTCATCAATCTAGACACACATGCCTACTTCTAGCAACTTAGCATTATTCGTCATAAATTCGTGCTCGGTCTCCAACTATTTCTATTCAGCGCAAACATTGCTTAAGGTCGTATTCTTAGTCGCTCCTTGCCTCCCATGAGGCATGATCATAGCCTCCATGTTTTTCCAGTTTTTTCTTTCCTCCAATCAGGTAAAAAATAGGCTTGTTTTCGTCTTCCTGAAGGGGAAAAAACTGACCAAATGACAGCGCAGAAAAGGTGTCCTTTGAAGTAGAAATTCTATTAAACACTGCATATTATTCCAGTCATTTGATAGTTTTACCTGGAGTGTTTTGGGGTTATTTTGAACTTGACAATCAATGACATAATAAGAAATTCAATCTTTCAATCACCATTTCTGCTCGCGCGGCTATATTGGAAAAATTGCATCTAAGAGCATGTTTTGCAATACCCTCATTCAAACCTTTTTAGGGTAAATTCTTTCTACAACAAAAATGATAGGTAAAATTTCATATAACGTATGTATTTGACTCCAATACGAATATACAGGGAACCGTTCATTAGTTCAATACTTTTACCTGAAATATCTTGGGAATGTTTAAAATATCGCTTTGTTAATAGATTTTTATGTACCCTCTACTCGACCACCTCGAATTTTTCACCTTCGCACCCCTATGTTGACGAAACATAGGTCAAGGGGGTACTCTGAACATTTTTCCGAAGTCAAAATGTATAATTATGAGAAATCAAACCAGAGATGATTTCCTGGAACTTATATACTATACCTGGTGATTTAAGAGGTTTCTGAACTCTTCATGGAAAAAAGATTGGTTGATCTCTGAAAATACGTTACTCTTCAATATAATCTCCTTTAAGTTCAAAGCATTTGTCCAGCAAAATTCTATTCTATGCCTTGCCTGAAGTGATTTTCGGGAACTCCTTCAGAATGATTGTCTACGGCTATAATAACTACTACATATGTTGACATGTGCTTAGCAGCCCAGTTTTCTTTATGCAAGTCCAGAAACCTTCCGAACCAACTCATACTTCAATGAATTTTTTATTATTATTGGTTCCCAATATTGACTTCTTACCGCTTGTTCCTTACTTTCGATGAATATTGAAGCACCTCTGAAATCGTATAAAGGGCGTTACTTGACTTATCAGAATCCTATACTCGTTATATTTCTTATTACAGTTACTAAACTTCAAAAGATTCAAGGTTTACTTCGACCTCTATCAGGTATATCGGATTACATCGTAGAACTTTGAAGAAACATTCAACGCTGAAACTAAGTTGTTTGCAGTGTAGCTTAAACATGATCCTTATTAACGTGCGCCTGTGAAATATTTCAATAATCCATTATCAAACGTAACTTGTACTCCTATCTACGCTGATAAAATGTAGCAGACGTACATAATGATTTGTTCAGAGAAATTGAACATTGACATTCAAGCATATGTTTTAGTAAGTACTATCAAAGCTGACAATATGTGCTAATTTTTTAGGGTAAAAGCTGCGACATAACACCTGACGTAAGTTCGTGCATTCAAACACAGCAACAGAGAATAAAGAAGTTGAAAAGACATTGCTATGGAAGAATCCACTGCAATGTTTTTTGTTTCATAGAATAACGATTTCAATGCCAATTTGTTAATGATGATGGAGTCCCCTTCAATGATTCTAATGAAGTGGCTAATCATTGTGATAAACATTGCGTAAATATTGGAACTTGAATTTCACAAAGTCTAAAGTATCTACATACGCTGAACTAGAGGTCTATAAATAGCCTACCTTATTCAGTGACTCTAACTTCTGGTGCTGATAATGAACTAATCAAGGATACATCCATCCCAATAAAAAATGGAATCGGAAATTATAATAAAATGCTTGTTTTTCGCCTTCAAAAAGCATTATTAGCCTAATATTCCAGAAGGCTACTGTAATATTGCAGTTCAAATCATCTATAGTAACACTTGTTTAAAAAGCTGCTGATAAAAGTAAGATATTTATTACTTTTGTAAAAATATCCTAAATATTTGAAAGCTCAATGAGTTGGCTTATTTCACTTTCACAACATTTTAGCTAAACACCTGTTTGGCTATCCAGCCGGTAAATCAACCAGCGGTTATAGCAAAATTAGATGCTAATAACAAATGTAATATAGTTTTCCTGGATTTATCATAAGCATTTAACACTGTGAATCACGAAAAAGTTATCAACATCTTAGAACTGTAGGTGGTAGACGGTCTCTGGCTGTTGAACGCGGAGGTACCACCCGGCGGATCTCGTAGGCGGAGCCAGAATGTGTGCATGTTGCATGCACACGTGTTTCCTCGCCAGAGTTCCGTGTGGCGTTTCCCCTTTCCCATGTATCCCCCTATAGCCCCACGGTACCCGATGGGTGCTTAGGCCTTAGGCCTTCGTGGTAGTTGGAGTATGAAAAAAAATTCAAAACTACTCAACTTTTCAGCCTGCCGATCCACGATTTTCAAACATAGTGGTTTTGTAGTTTAAGATCATTAAGCCCTACCAGGGAGCTTCCGAATAAGAGTGCACAAGGTCAACCAATTGACTAGAAAAATATTGCAATATGCGTCTCAGTCATATATCATTGATCAAAATCTGAAATGCAACAATCACGTTAATTATCTTTCGAATGAAGTTAGAAAGCTGGTATATCAATTTTATCAGCAATTTTTAATTACAATTTGCCGAAAGTTTATAGTATATCTAGTTGACGTCACTCTTGTTCGTGTGAAGACATCTTTGTGATCAACAAACAATCAGGTGATTACCACGTCTACTACAGTTTAGTCACTAACGGCTCTAGAAAAATGATTTTGGTGGATGGTCAAAGCAGAACTTATCCATCTAGTCAGGCAGCACAAATATAAATATCTTAATGTTTTAAGTCTCAAACAATAAAACATTCAACTTATCTGATCTGAAAAATTTGTTTAATGAAGCTGTCAACAGAGTGACGGCTAACCACTGGAAAGATTGCGTCCGTCGCGTTTAAGAGACAATCGAAACAAAGGGATGGGATCTGGACAATATTATCGATATTCAAATTGAACCTGTTATAATTGATATCAACCATTCGGGCGATGATTCAAGTAATTCCAACAAATAATAAATTGCCTGGGCGTAAATGGACTACGAATGGGGATAATATCGCGTTTCTGTCCCAGCGTTCATCTCCTGCCACTGTTCTCCGAGTAGAAGTAAACCCTCTGAATGACGTGTTATCTCACCTCTTAACCCGTAGAATCCTGAGGGCACTCTCTTGGCATCCATGAATTCACCTTTCTTGCCTCTCATGCCCATGAAGGGCGCCCTCTTGTCACTGTAGTCTCCCTTGGAGGGTCGAAACGACGAGGTCAGGAATGTCCTCTTTTTACCCCGCATTCCTATAAATCCTGAAGGAGCTCGCTTCCTATCTGAAATGCGGAGATTAATTTATTAGCTACTTCGTTTGATTTGTTAGTTATCGTGGTGACATTTCAGGATAAAGCAGAGCATAAATGTTGTCAAGATAGTTTCTGTCAACCACCCCTAACTTCTGAGTTTCTGGTTGTTTATATATTTAGATGGAGAAGTCATATGCTCTGGAGCAACCTTTTTGCATTTTTTTAAATGTTTGGTAATTCCGTTACATGTTAGCATATAATGACGCTTTTGAAGTGCCTGACTGGTTTCCCTGAAGATGGGAAATATAAATGATAATAATTGTAATGCAGCAAAGGGAAGACTTGAATGACAAACTTCAGCGTTTGCTTCTCTTAGATTCAACCATAAAAGTCACTAGCCATAATGGAATATCATTCAAAATGAGCTTTCAGTTATAAATTACTACAAATAAAGCGAAAACTGGCATACTTTCCAAGTCCAAGAACACCAAAAAATTTAAAAGCAATGAAGATGTTCAGAAAAGTAAAAAAACGTTATTGCGTAATCAATCAAATCAATGAAGTATTGGATAATGATGATTCCATTTTTTGAGTACTGTTTATAATTTCGGCGAAGAATTATATATGGTGGCAATATTATATATTTTTTGTGGGCCCAAGATAACATTTTATACTTTTGAGTTTCGATAGCCAGATTATGATTTTGATATTGTATTAAGTTATTAAGATCATTTTATTAGACTTCTTCTGTATTTTCGATACTCGGTGGTTACGTGCATTATCAAGAATTTTGGTCAAGTCAAAAGTATGAATCAGAAATAACAAATGGATATAATAGAAGAGCATATCGATAAGAGACCCAAAAAGAATCAACCGTGTGAGAGAAGCTTCAGACTGCCTGTCAGCGCATTCTCACTAAGCAGTCTAATCATATTCTGTTGTAATATTTACTCCGACGAGCAAAACAAATGGGTGTCTGCCGCAAATGCATTGGTCTGGCAGATCTAGGTAATATGTGAGGCCACAAAGAGTAAGAATTATGCAACCGTTATAGTATATAACAATTACCAAAGACGTCTTTTTGGTGTCGTTATATTTATATCTTATCAATTCATGAAGAGTAATGATACTTTAGCATAGGGGTATGATGGAGAAGTTCATTTGCCCCAGGAATATGCTACTTATCGCTGTACTTATCATCACATTTTTTCTTCACTGACTAACTTAACAGACACAGGCCATGGGTGAAAAATCAAGTTACGGGCTATGTAATTTCTATACCTACAATGGAGGTTCTGTGTTCACTAGTACTTTATGGAAGACTTATTTCATGTACAATACAGGCTACTTGAGATCAATAAATGGTGGATGTGGGATGTAGAGGTTGCCCATTCATCAGGAATGAAAACGTTGTTATTTTTTGGAATGTATTGTTGCGAATGGTAATTTTATACCGAACGATCTTAGAATATGCGATCACTTGTTCTGTCACAGGTAAGTAATTTTGGAACAGGTTGAATGATGTGCTTTTTGTTTGATATATGCAGGTCCCACAGTCAATATGTTGGATTTTGAAAATAAAGCAACCTATATTACTCCATTTGCTGTACATCCCACCACACCCCAATTATTACCTTGCGAGGATAAAGATCTCCTTCTGGTGTAGTTTTCCCAGGATCGTTGTGGTTTCGTATATATGGTTAAAATAAGCTTTGTTCCATCGAATTAGCTATGAATTGGATAACGCATGCGCAAATCGGGAATACCGTTCCAACAGGAAATGGAACTCATTCCGAAAATAACAGCCCTATATTTTAACAAATTCCAAACTGGCTTTAAGCCGATAATAACAAATCTGGTTATACGAGAGAACTAAAGATCGAATTTGATAGCGCGTGTGTGTATACAGAATAAATGGCGTCGATGAGCTGTTCATAGCTGAGAAACAGGAAATTGTGGCTGATATTTTGATCCTTTCCGAACTTTTCAATCTTCTCCTATATCAAACCTAAATCTGACACGCTTATTGCGCAGGTCATTGCACGCATTAAAAAATGGGTGACGATGGAGATTACTTTGAAACAGATTCTAGTAACGATGAAGATCTTGAACTGATTATGGGAGTTCCCAGAATCAGGAATTAAAGTTACATGATAATATAAATGAATTTGTTTCAATCATGTTATTATAGTTACATTACTCTTCTTATACGCTCCTTCCATTTCAAGACAATTACTATATTAGTTCCTCTTAATTTTCTCTTTCTCTTAGAAATAAAAAAAGAAAAAACTTCGTATTGTGTCTTTAAAATATATTTTTTATATTGCTCATCTCTTGTTAAATCTGCCATCTCGTTTTTTCATTTTTTTTAAAGATTTACAGTATGCCACAAAACGATAAATTATCAAAACCTCCACGTATGCCATAGTTATAGGAGCGTGGTAATTTTTTTGCAGTCACACTTCAGTTAAGGTTATGTTTAATTCTCTATTCTAATATAACGCTTGTGAGCTAGTTCTAAACTGTACTCACCTTGCGCATGCGCAGAAAACGATTTAGGACTTAGTTCTGAACCGGTTCGAAACTACTTGTTGGATCAAACCTACAGATAATCTACTTTTCATCAACAGTAAAGAAATGGTCTAGCCAGCTAAATGTACGGCGAAACGATAAAACATGTACGTCTGCTAGACAGTTAAGTTGATTTTTGCTCAAGTGGCGAGGTTCTCAATAACCAAACCTGAAAATCTTCCAGTCTGAGAATCAGAGCTCCACAGTCAAACCACGCGTACTGCTTCGAAGATCTTTCTAAATTATTGTCATAAAGTTATAGCTATCTTCACTACGAAATCATTGCAATCAAAACTTTGCTATTGCCTCCAGTTTGGTACTCATAATGTCGCACCTACGTTTCGATATTGCTCATTTTTTTCGTTGTACTTTCCTCAGTAACAGCTGAAGTTTCACTAGCGTACCTGATCGTGACTCCCTCTTTGCATAGGACCCACGACAGAACGCCCTATCAAATATTTTCACGATAAATTCCATTATGATCATTCCATAGACGGCATGCAAAGATCCTAGGGCTTAGAATACTTGAATTATTTCTTATTGGACAGTCTTATCCTGTAAAATTTTGTACAACCCTCTATATTTCAAGTGGTTTTTCTGATATTATCAATTTGTTGATTGGAAAAAAGCCTTTTGCTCAAGAGTACTTTAGAGAATCGCCAATTATTTAGGACCCTTTTGAACAAAAGTAATGAAGAACCTTATGGAATTTAAATTCATTTACACAGTGGGTAGTCGATCTGATATTGGACAACATTTTGCATTATGTTCACTCCATCTTGCATAATATAAACCGTATGTTCTTAAATGAGAACATACACATCAGCACTTACATCTGACTGAGATATCAAGTAGTTATGGATGGAAGTATGAATACTTTTCCACCAGAGCACATGTTGCAAACGTTATTTTTGTAAAGTAATCAAATATAGTCGAACAAAGGTAAGCCAACTTAATAAAAATCGTTTTGAACTCAACGGATATTAACCGACGGGGTATTATACAAAACATCAGAAACTTTCCCAATTAAAAAATTAAGATTGTTTACATTGCCCTGGGCGCAAATTATGTTCGGAGGCTAATTTTTCGGGGGAGTAAGCGCTTTACAACAAGTATCTGTTGATGACACTTCTTTGTAGTAAATGGGCATTTCGTGAAGATAATCTGACGTTATTTACCTTGTACTATTCTCACCTACGCGCATATTATGATGACATGGATAACGTATATTTACTAAACGTTCCATAAATATTCGAGGAAACTCTCTACAGGTTATGTTTTCGATGTGGAAAGCAATTCAACAAAACTTTAATTAATATTTTTACGAATAAACGTTACAATTGTTGTTTGACACGCAAACTAAACTACCTCAGTATATATATATAAGATCTCGACAGTCAATGAGGAGAAAATAGGATTATTTTTCTTTAACAAATTCGGTACATGATTTTTGATAATGGAGCGTGCTCGGAAAAAAATCATCTTTCTTACATTATCTGGTTTCATTTAGCGGCTGGAAAAAGTTTTATCGACATGAAAACCACACGGTAAGTTTCAGATGTTACGTTTTGATTTTGTCGTTACAGCATAGACGATCCATGTCAGTAGTAGTTGTTGTGATCGTAGGGAGGCGAGACCTAGAAGCTAGATCTCCTGTGACCCTTTTCCGGCCCCATTGTACCAACACACTTGCTCATATACCGATATCAGATAAGTGATTATTAATTTTTTCAAACAGTTACTTAAACTCTTTATATATATATATATATATAGTATCTCCACTTTCTTGAGCTAAATACTTGGGTAACTTGATACGAAGAGTGTAATGACTTATGTTAAGTACCACATTTCTTCGAAAGGTTAAGTAGCAGACCTAATAGAAAAATGATATATCTAGTTTTTCAGGAAGGTAAGCCTTCGTATGATAATACGAACAAGGTCTGGCCTGTACTCTTGGCCTTCCTAAAATCTACCAGCAAAATTTTCCCTTTGGTGCAAAATTCTCAGTGTATGGGCAGGTGTATGTCCAGGGATACAGGCTTATTTTAGAAAATAGATTATTTTTGTAAATCAAAATTGAAAACAAATAGTTGCAAAGACGTAATTATCAGGTCCTAGTCGTAACTCTTCTGCTAGGTGCAAATGAGGATACTTTTGTTTTATGTATATGTTTTTACTCCTTTTGTATGTTTGCGTCTCCGCTTTCTTTTTGTTTACGTGATAATTTAACTAACAGCAGAGACGAATTTAAGGGCATACAGAATTATTTTAGTTTTCTGTATTCATTATAATAATAAAATTGATTTGTTAGTTGTTTCGAAATTGTGTGACTAATATCCAGCCACAAGTAGATAAAGATATATTTCTGTCTTACCTCCAACTATGTTTTGAGATTCATGACACATGACATATCAATATATGCATTATCATATTTGAAGTATTCTGAGGAGACTTGTTGCCAGTTTGGTGATCTCTCTTTCAGAAATAAATTTCGTCCACCCTGGATTTGATCACACTAATCAGAAATCGGAAAATAATGCATAAAGCACTTTGGTAAGTATTGTTGATAGAACGTCCAACATCCTGCGACTAGAGCGTAATGTCTGTGGACATGGCAGAATTGCAGGTTTTAGTTTTCCAATATATGATCCGGAAAGCATACTTCTGCGCACCTAGGCCAGATCGACATATTGGAACAGAACAATTTTTCCATCAAAGAAAACAGACCTACAGGTTTGATGACGGCATTTCTGTTCTATGTCATCACCGAAGTGATCACTGAGATCGAACAGTGTAGGAAATGTAGCTGACAAATTACAATTCCTCAATCCACCTTTCACACAATCTTAGTCCCAATGCTATCAGTGGAGTCTTCCGGACCGAAGCGTCAATTTCTATTAGAATGTGAAAGGACGGCTGTTAAAAATTGAAATATCATATAGTCTGGTACATAAACCTGTCACCTAGTAAGAAAAGCCATTTTCAATCTTTTTTTATAAAACCTGTACCTAGGCTTCTAAGAACGTTTTAGAAAACGAACAGCGTTTCGCGTGACAACTGTCAGCCGTACTAACAATTGACCATAACCTCAAATATTTTGTCATAACAGAAGTGACATCACTGACGCTGATTCATGAATTAAGGCACGTTCCGTTTCGATTAACTGTTACTTTCAATTCGTCTGATAAAGTAATTGCTAGACAAAATAAAGACATTACCGTTACGTTTATTTCATGATCTTATTCACATATTTTCTATACATAATTTTTGCATCTTCCCTATCTAAGATTATTGAAAAGAACATTTCTTCAGCAAGAAATATTAATCTAATTATAATAAGAAACTCACCGAATTCATACTCAGCCACAGTCTCCTCCTTCTTCCCTCTTAGCCCCATGAATCCTTGCAACGCCCTCTTGAACAAAGTATCAACCGCTGGTAACCTCCATGGATCCTTTTTACCCCTAAGCCCCATGAAGCCTGCAGGTACCCTTTTGGACAATATGTCCTCGTCCTCTTCGGCGAAAGGGAGCATGACCTTCTTGCCCCTCATGCCCGCGAAGCTGGAGGAGGTCATTCTGGCAGCTAAGGTGCTGCCTGACAGCACTAGCGACACATACAGGGTAACTAGGAGGTGCATCACAGCTGAGTAGCGATGATTGTGGAGGGTCATTCTGGAAGAAAAAGATCCAAAGTGCTAGTTCTCTTATACCCGGTTCTATTAGGTTAACTATGGTTTTACTGATAATTGGAATGTAACTTCCATAAAGGGGTTTTACAATCTCAAGTTTGTTCCAAAAAGGTTTTACTCTTACTAGGGGAGCATTTGTAAGTTTTGGTCGGCAAACCGTAATACCTAACATCATGTAGCCTATATACCAGGTAGAGCTACGGCTATTCGTGTGGTCAGAGCGACCCCGAAACTTGAGTACTTGAGTACTGAGCCTTGTGCTTGTTCTTGGGAAATTCTGTCCGACTCATCTGGCAAAGCTGTGCCTTGGCATATCCGCCATATGAACACCAACAAATGGATTGCCATTTTGTTGATTGTAAATTAACTCAAAAATTCTTGCTCATTTCCTGTAAATCCTCGTTGCAAATAACTAGAAATCTATTGGAAATTGTTACTGTTATTTAGTTGTTTGTGAAGAACTTTTGAAAAGCGACCCTTTGTGCATTGATGAATTACTCAACGAGGATGGACAGTAAAACCTGTAAGTTGGCACCTAGATAATTAGCTTTTAGGTCCTACAGGGGAGATTTCACGATTCATTTTAGTATCAAACTGTGATATCAGTACAAAAAAACGGGGAAGATTTCACGATTTAGTTTAGTACCAAATTGTGGTATCAGAACAAGTCAGTTTGAAATTTAAGCTTTTGTATAGGTTCCATATTTAACATTTTTGGCTTAAAAGTGGACATATGACACAATGTACAATTTTTTTCAAAAGGAAAATTGGTTTTGATCTAGTTACTATCGAACGTATCGGAAAGATGGTCGGGCATCTTCTTCAAAAATACGTTAATCAATGGTGCAACTCAATAAGATATAGAATAAGAAGATAAAAAATAGTCGACAGTATATGGCGAGAAGAATGAGCTGATGCGTTCCTGCTGCAGGTGCCCTATTTCTTAAAACTGCAAGAGCTAAAAGTCATTCGTCTCGATCAATCAGTTCTTCATTATAAAGCCTAAATGTTAGTCTAGCCATTTTGTATGCTCGCCGCCAGGTGGATGAGAAAACATGTTTCACCTCGTCGTCAAAACTGAATTGCTCTCTTCAAATGTTCTCTTAATTTAGAGAACGGATGGTTCGATTAGGAACTGCGCTTGTGAGCTTCATGGTACTTACAACTACGTGTCGCATGAGCTGAGAAAGCGCATTTGGCAGGAAGGCGTTGCACTACCCACGGTGGAAAAAAGTTATGTTTAGTGCTTTCTCAGGGATTTATCGGCGGGCTGGTATGACATACGCGGCCATACGGAAACTGGTAAAGCTGCCACAAAAATACGCTGACGAGATGACAATTATGTAGAAAAATGGATGATTGTTAAAGTCTTACAATGAATTATCAATCAGTGGAAATAAATGGTAACTGACTCTTAATAACACAGGAAACCCTACTTTTAAAGTTACTCTCATATCTATAGCTGCACTCCGTGCGTCATCTATCATTCTCTTTGATTGAGTTCCAACCCCTTAGGGCTGGTTTTTTCACTTTCGCACCAAATAAAATCTTTTCTCTACAATAACTGCTCATCGGATAAAACTTTGAACCTGTCAATCCCTCGAGTACTGGGCTTTCTGTATTTCATCGATTTCATTTTGTGCTTGATGGACATATATTGCAGAAGCACCAAGAGAGGGAAAATACAAAAGATTGCTTGAACGGTTAACAAGTTTGAGAACTGAATCTTTGAAATAAGGTCAGCTGTTCAAAACAGCATGTCACACTTTGAGTAGATACGTTTTTTTTTAGTGTCGGCGTTTATACCGCAACTGTAATGAAATGTGTGTTAGCTATTGATTCGAGAGCAAAGTAATTGATAGATCAGCCCGGTTTTTTTTAAGGCAATCCATACTTTAAACCGGACACTTAATTTTGCTTTCGTAGAAGAGGTCCTTCTAAGCCGACTTACAAGGTCGTGGAGCCTGAAAGAAGGACCTCAAAGCCTCATCACTGCCTTCTAATGCATTATGGTAACTGAAAAGTAATTTCAAAAATTGATCAAACCGTATCATTCCCTCATATAATGTGACACATACATGATGGCATATTCAAAAACCTTTGCGAATCATTCGAAGTATAGTCAACGCCAAACAAAGTGGCGTGCACGTCATCACGATAAAAATTCCCCGACCTAATGCCTAGGTTTCTATCACAAACAATTGCTCTATTGCAGTTTCATATTAATGTGATATATAAATTGTAAAATGGTCATTACTCTCTTATTATGGTTAATAGTCATATAAACATTGTTATTAAAATATCACATAAGTTGCTTTCTGATAAATTTAGACGCATTATGCGAAATAAAATGTTTTGCAAACGCTCCAATCACTTATCGACATGTAAACGCACTAAACCGATTTCGCAGCGTTGACACATTGTCACCTTGAAACTTATTTAAACTGGGAACTGACATTTGTATTAATTTTGACACTGAATCAATTTGTGGCATTTCAAATCTTTATAAATCCTTTGGCCCCGCATACTGTAAATCAACAACTGTTTGTTTCAAAACAAAATTATTCATTTTACGAGTAGATAAAGGCAATTTTGGTATATAAAGATGCCCAAACAGTTAAATAGTCGGTGTAAGGAACTCGTGGCCTCGTTAATGCACTACTTTGAGCAAGAAAGGGACAACAACGGGCCTTTGTTGCCTTTAAATGCTGTTCAAGAGGTAGGTTACTAATAATTATATGTAATGTATATTAATAATAGTGAAATTTTATTTCATTTTTTGTAGCGTGTTGCTGCTGCTTTAAAAATTAGTTTAAGGACAGTTAGTCGTATTTCCGAGGGTGTGAAAAGTAATGCAAATTTAGAATCGCCCAAGAAAAAGCGGAGTTATATTAAACGTGTAACCAACACAGCGACATTGGATACAAGTGCCATTCGAGAAGTGATCTATAATATGTATCACAAAAGTAAGATCTTATTATAATAACTTATCAGAAATTTGCATTAATTTGTTAACTAAATTATAATGTCATATTACACATGGTTTCAGAAGAACAAGTTACGATACAAACTTTATGGTCTCGATTAAGAGATAGGGCATTATTTGATGGTAGTGCCACGTCTTTAAGGCGGTTGCTTAGAGATCTTGGATTTAAGTGGCTTAAGGACAATCCGCGACGAGGGCTCATGGAACTACCAAGTATAGCTTTGAAAAGGGTGGAATTTCTAAGGCAATACAATCAAGCCAAGGTTGAGGCCTTATACCAGTTTGTCTTCCTCGATGAAACTTGGATATTTCAAAATGGGACCATAGGTCGCTCTTGGCACAATGGAAACCAAAAAAGCGTGAAAGCTATTAAAACAGATGGTTCAAGGTATGTACTTTTACACAATTTGCACTATAAAATTTAAAACTAATATATTTTAGATACATTATATTACATGCTGGAAATGAAAATGGGTTTATTGAGGGTAGTGAAGCGATATTTTCTTCGAAAACAAAATTGAGCGATTACCATGGAGAGATGAACCAGGACAATTTTTTGAAATGGTTTCAACGTCAGTTATTAGAAAAATTGGAGAGTCCATCTATGATTATACTGGATAACGCCCCTTATCACAGCATGATATTGAACAAAGTGCCCAACAATGCATGGACAAAAAAAAATATCCAAGACTGGTTGACAAATCAAAACATACCATTTTTAAACACAATGTTTAAAACAGAGCTATTGAGTATTGTTGCTCGGTACATAATGCTTCTTAATTATATATATTTTGGTCGACAGTTTATATTTCTTTTGTTTATTCCTATTCTTAAAATAACTGCTTTTTTAGAAACAAACCACCTAAAATATACGTGATTGATGAATTGGCGGAACAACATGGGCACAAAGTTCTTCGTCTGCCTCCTTACCATTGTATATTTAACCCGATTGAGTTAATTTGGAGCATAGCAAAAAGTTACTATAACAGACATATTGGTAGAGATGGTAACAGTGAAAAAGACTGTTTGGATATGTGGAACGAGGCTCTACAAACGGTTACCCCAGACATGTGGAAAAATAGTGTTCGACATACTGAGCAAGAAATTTTTAAATGGTATGAAAGAGAACGAATTTTTGATCGACCAGACATCGAACCTTTAATAATCAACTTTGAGAGTGATGAAGATTCAGATTCAGACAGCGCTGAAAAAAGAAACTCCGACTAACTTTATTGTACAGAAAAAGCTTACACCAGTAGCTTACCTAATTTTAGAATGCATTTTTCTGTATGAATTCTGTAAAATAAATACCATGCATAAAATTTGGAGGACCCCATTTGGATTTTTATTCAGTACCTTTAAGCTATCAATTAAATATGGTAGTTTCATAGTGTCATCTGATCAATAATTGTCATACTTACTGATTATGCAAGTACAGATCTATAATTTTATTATACTATTATTTTTGTTCTCATTTGAGGTTAATATTGCTTATAAACCTAGATATGTAAATAATAAATTTTATTATTTTACAAAAAGTTTGGCAACAATGTAAATTTTTCAACACACCCACCTTGATGACGTGCACGCCACTTTGTTTGGCGTTGACTATAATTCAATTTGACTACGCTGAGTTGATGACATTGACATATCATAGAATGAAAACATTTCAAATGGCAACTTACTAACGTAGTATTTTTCGACTTGTCGGCACAAGGTATCTTGGCATCTTGTAACCTCTGTTAGTTACCTTATAAGTTCCATCCGAGTCATGTCCCTTGAAACAATTACCTGAAACCAAATAAAACGCTACATTAGGATACTTAACGTAGCTTTAGTGACTACAAATACTTTGAACAATCCACTGGTATGTGCTCGAACACTTTGATTTTGGTATATGATGGTGTGGCCCTCTAGTTTAACTAACATTTTCATATTTTTAATACAACTGTGTTCAGAGATATGTAAGTAACAACTTTTGATGCGCATATTCTCCAACTGGTATTAATCAGAGAAATCAGCCAATAGTCGTAATGATCCTGGAAGGTTCCTTAGAAAAGTAACTTTTGATTCGATTGAACATATATATCAGATATAAGGGTGGCGTTGTCAGCATAACATAGAAAAAAAGCTATTAGGTATTCTCGATGGATTTAGGGACCTAATTCATTTGCCTACCACCATTGATCTACACGGTGACGCAAAAGAACTATAGGCATGCGTAGAGTAAATACATCAAGAAATGACAAAGTTTTTATAAACATACGTCATATACGAGCCTCTTCCCACTTCAGTTAGCCCAACTATTGAAATCTTAGTTTTTTTCTTATCAAACACAAATAATAAAGATGTAGCATAAAAATAACACATGTTGCAATTACAGCATATCAACCTATTTTCATTTCAATGCAAAATAAGTCTATAACGCATAGGTGGCTGTGAAAAATAAAAGCCATGATAATTGTTTTTATTAATCACAGCTTTCAGAATACGTTTAAAATAGTTTTATGTAGTTAACGTTTTCAAAATGGGTAGAGGAAACGTTATTAGTGAGAAAATTAGGTTACTGATAATTAAATTTTTTTATTCTGGGAAATTAAACTCAGAAATTGCAACTTTGTTAGACTTATCGCGGTACAGTGTGAGAAATATTGTTGGAAGATATAACGTAACTGGTTCAGTTAATATTAAGCCACGATATGTGAAAAAAAGTAATATCACAAATGCCGACCGAAGAGCATTAAGAAGAATAATCGTGAAAAACAGTGCTCTGTGGAATGACGCTGTTGGAAGGAGAATTTCGAGGTCCACAACTCATAGAGAGGCCCACAAACTGGGATTTAGCACTTGCAAGGTAAGTTTTCTTATAGAAAAAGTGAAGTAAAAACCCTAAAGATGCACAAATTGTTTATAGGCCAAAGAAAAGCCACTATTAACTCCACTGCAAAAGAAAAGTCGGCTTAGATGGGCTAAAGAACATAGACAATGGACACCTCAACAATGGTGTGCAGTACAATGGAGTGATGAGACCCGATTCGAAGTTTGTGTTGGTGATAGTCGCAGTAGAGTTATTCGCAAAAAAAATGAAGCATTCCATGTTGACTGTCTGAAGAGAAAAGTGAAATTTCGATCATCCATTATGGTCTGGGGCAGTATGTCATCAAAAGGAGTAGGAAAACTTTATTTTATTGATGGAAATGTGGATACAAACACATATTTGGCAATTTTAGAAGAATCGCTTTTACCAGTGATAGAAGAATGTTTGACATCAGACCAAGATTTTGTGTTTCCGCAAGATGGTGCAGCGTGCCATACCTCAAAAAAGGCTATAAAATGGATGTAAGAAAATAATGTACCACTTTTGAAATGGGTTTCTAGCAGTCCAGATCTGTCACCTATTGAAACTTTGTGGCACGAGATGAAAAAGGTTCTACGACAACATCCTGCTCGTACAATCACCGAACTGAGACAAAAGCTTCAAGAAATATGAGATTATTTTACACCAAATTCTTGCCAAAACTTGGTTAAAACTATGCCCCGTCGAATTTTAGCCGTAATAAAAAATAAAGGTCATGTTACACATTGGTAATATTTCAATTGCTTTGTTAACTTCGCGCATTTATTCGCACATGGTTTATTTATTCAGATGTTCTATTAGTTATAGGTCTAAGTGATTCAAATATGTATTTTTTACGACTAGAGCGCATCTAAAATGTTTTTGAGAAAATAAATTGTTTTAGAATTAAATAGTTTCGTCATGTTTAGCTTATAAAGTCATATTTTGGTACAAATCTTGAAGTGGGCCAACTGAAGTGGGAAGGGGCTCGTATGTTCCGTTAGCAAGATACAGGAGGTGCTGTTAATTTTATGCCACAAATAACATTAATAGCAAATCACCAATACTTTCGTATAACGCTGGTGATTTATTCTCCACTTCACAGAATCTTCAATCTTGAACTTCAGTAATTTCAGCGTATTTTCAAATATATCGGATTCAACATCAATTATTCAAAGCAAATATTCTATGAAAGGAACAGCATGAAAAAAAATATCTCAAGAGAGGCGATTCAGATAAAATTCAAAATTTCAATTTAGTGACTAGAAAGTAATTATGTGTTTCTTTTTATAGGTGCCGTGATTCCTACCCCACTGGTGGATTCTCACCCACAAATCTTTATATCAGATACGCTACTAGTTCCACATGCGCAATTTTTATCTCGATCTAGTCCTTAGATATAATTTGTTTCGACTTTTCATGTTATTTCTGCCTACTGATCCTACCTCAAATATTCAAATCCGTTTCTCTTCAATACAAAGATTGAGACATCACATCTAAAGCTGAATACGTAATTCAGAAATTCAAGAGATATTTTGTAAAGGTCTCTTTTTTCTTCTAAAGATGCTGAGATTTTCTAGGCCATTGATGTAGCCTCAAGCATGATCATTTCTGTGCCAATACCAAGTCGAATCTGAACATATAATTCTGTTTATATTTCGAAGTTTGAACTATAACCCTGTTTTCTGTATCACCCTGTATATGGGAAATCTCATATTATACTCTGAATAACTTAAGGAAGTCTACGACTTGGTAACTCAATAAAAAATTGTTTCATGCTATAAATTACAATGTGAGAAACGCCGTTAGTCCCGTTCGCCAACAGTTCAGTTGCATACATGTATTATTAACTCTATGATTTAAATATTTCATACTGGAATCTGAGTCCAGATAGTATCTAAGCCATAACGTGACGCGACAGCTAGGGCAAATGGATCTCTACAGCACAAATAATAAAAATTTCAAATGAAGTAGTTGAAATTGCGTACGGTATCGCTTGGGGCAATTTGAAATGAACCTGGCAGCTTTTATTCCTTAGAGCAGCTCGAAAGAAAAATGACGACAGTAAAATGGCGTAAAGCACAAAAACTTTAGGGATGGGCATTACAGAAAGGTATACTCAGTCATGCTTTAGGAAAATTTGATAATTTCTAATGATTATACAAGTTTTGGGGTCCAAAAGAAAGTTGTAAAAGTGGCCAATTAGACTGAGTCGCCGTTAATCTTTCTGATTATATTTTAGGAAGGTTGAAGCACAGAGTAACCCAAAGGGTGCACAGGCAAAATTGCTAGTGCAATTTTCAGAATCCCACACGTAAGCAATCGGCGACGTGAGATAGCGCGCACTGCCGTTTACAGCGTCAAGTGGCAATAAATCGACTCTGTACTGATTCCGACTCATCGCTACCTTCCAACAATGAATTCCCGATAGTTCCGAACGGTAATATAATGCAGACCAGATCAAAGCAGCTCGTAGCAAGCCTGTATGATGTTTCATAGTATGGATTACTGTATATAGTATCTGATAGTCAGAACTTACTTGCTGGAGATGAGGTAATAATTTAGTTAAAGGACCGACTCGCTACCGCTACAATACGTCAACATGAATATAGGGGTACTATAAAGGTTTTGCTATATGACTTAACAAACTGTCGCAGTCGGCTGCATGTTACTGAACCAGAACTGAACAGAAAAAAGTGGAACCAGGTAGGCTGCCTCAATACTTTCCACACACTGGTATCTATATTTATGTGCACGCATAAAACTAGAGATAAGAAAATCTACGTTTGGCAACTTTTTTATACCTAAATTGGTCAAATGCAGCTCAGAGACACTTAGGAGCAAACTAAGCATCATTAACATAGCAGGCAGGCTTGGCTTTAGAATTTTCGAACAGCCTGTGTTTTTACTATAGCCCAAAATAACCAAAAAGTAGAAAAATGTCAAAAAACATTTTTTTTATTTTTCAGGTGTTGACCCCTATGAACTTTTGTGCTACGTGGAAAAATATCGGGGAAAAGATTCAAGAAATGAAGTTTCCTGACGCCTCAAGTTTTCCCTTTTTACTTGTTCCTGTGCTTCTATTAGTGAAAGCATTCAAGGTTTTCTTTTATTGGCATAGCATTAGCTTTGTGTTGAAATACGTATCGTTACATATACTTCCGAAATATGGGCATAGAGAACCTCAGAGCCTTTTCACTGGAGATCCTTGTTCTGATTCTAAGCAGTCATTCACATACAGAACCTGTTTTAGTTCATAGTGTAATTAAGCACTTAAATGTCAAACAGGACACAAGCTAACGCAGCTAACAACGCTAAAAAAAACAGTCCAACCCTGCACCGCTGTGTCCGCCACTGTTTCTGGTAAATAATCCAGGACTATTAGACGGAAAGAAGGCCAATCTGCTGAAAAAATCCCACCTGACTGAATTCTTTACCAGGGCTTTTTTTCAAAATTATAAATGATTCCTCAAAAGTCCCCATGAATCCAAGTGGAGATTTTTTTATGGGGGGTCAAAGGTCACATAAAACACTGTTTTCCATATCTTCGAAAATATCAACTCTACGATAGAATAAAAAAAATACCTTTTTTGTTCAGTATAAAATTCTCCACAAAAAAGGTTCTATGCATTTTTTTCGGGTAGACTGCCAATTTACAGAAAATTGCGTGAAAGTGTTGTAAATGACAAAATTCAAAAATTTCGCGTCAAACCGTATTTTGAAATAGTTTTCTTTTTGAATGTTTGTGGTAGGGGCTCTGTAAGTGACCTAGAGCACAGCTGGCCCTTTTTTCTTTGTTAGAATGTACGTCACTGTATATCTGACTGTGGGGTATTGACGTCATTTGACCAGTCTTCAGACCAGTATTCTGCTATTCTCAGTTGTATACAGACGCGTCGGATAATTTCAGTCAGTTTTTACGTGATTTTATTCACATATACATAAATTGAAAAACGGCCGAAAATTGCATCATTTGCGACAAATCGCTGTGAGACGGAGTTGACTGTTTGGTCGAGCGCGGTATTAAAACCTCACGTGATGCCAGTATCGAGCGAAATGATGGAAAACTTACATTCTTGCGGTGTGTCAGAGTACAGGTGCTGTGTCGCAAACAATGTACTCGTGCAAGTAGCATTACTACTGCTAAAATGGAGCGAGATGCTGAACCCAGCACCACGACCGCTAGCCCTCCTCGGCAAAGAATGCGTTCTATCGAGATGTTACATATTATGATGCTATTTTTGATTGTCATGTTAATTATTTACGAAATCATTTTTTGGTTGGAACGTTACGGTTGTTTTCGACGGTTATAGCAATCAACGTAATAACACGAAAGCAATGGAACAACAACGACGATCAGCAAAAACCGGTACAGAAATTATTTTTGATCGATCAATGACTCTGACAACTCAAGAGAAAATTCTCGCCAATGTCAACAACAAACAGCGATTTATAACAATGTTGTCTGGAAAACTGCAGCAGAATCATATAAACGTCGTGCAAGCAGAAGATTATGCTGATCTTCTCATTATCAATACTGCAATTGAATTGACGAATGAAAATCGAGGTATAATTATTGGGAATGATGTAGATATATCGGTCTTATTGACAGCTCTTGTTCCTGAGAATAAAGATATTTATTTTATGAAGTCTGGAGAATCAAACATCGACATAATTATATATTCTCCAAGAAGTTTCGATGCTCACATCACCGTTAAACCACACATTTTATTTTTGCATGCGTTGAGTGGATGTGACACATCATCTGCTCTCTTCAATAAAGGCAAGGCAAAAGCCATTAAAATTTTTCAAAAGAGCTGATATTAGAGATTCAGCAAAAGTATTCAATGAGGAAGGATGTTCTCCAGATCCTATTTTCACAAATGGTATCAAATCATTATTAGCGATATATGGTGCTCCACCGCGCGAAGAATCTCTTGATCACCATCGATATAACTGCTTCGCGAAATCGACAAGGTATGATAAAGCTAAGGTTTCAATGCTGCCATCATCATCGGGTGCAGCTCAAGCACATTTGTCGTGTGTATTATCAAGTTCAGAACTGGCTTGGAAAAAATTTGAATCCATTTTATTGGGGATGGACTATGACCGACGAATATTTACAGCCAATACAAGCTCTTTTGCCACCTGTTCCTGCTGTCTTATTAAACACAATCTTTTGTAATTGTACGAAAGATTGTGGAGCTAATTGCGGATGTAGGAAACTTAGCCTACCCTGTTCCGCCATTGGCGGCTACTGTTATGGACAGTCATGTCTGAATATGGTCTCGAACAATGAAGGGTCAAATAATGTGGAATTCGATGAGAATATAGACCCCATATAGACCCCCTGTGCTCAACACTTGAGGTTGGTGGAGACTTAGATGATGCCGCATCATGTCACATTGATGACTAAGGAAAAAGTAACAATAACATCATTTTTCCATTCTATCTTTATGGATTAGGCTTGTTGGGGAATGCATATGGAAAAAAGCACGTCTGGTACTTTACCTCTATGGTGACGTGGAAAAAATACTTTATTTTACAATTTTCTCGATGTTCAACATTGAAAGTAGAATTTCTGTGGGAAAACAATTTCTACGAAAAAATGCGTACAACTTTTTTTGTGAAGAATTTTATACTGAAGAAAAAGGTAATTGCTTATTTTATAGTAGAATTGATATTTTCGAAGAGATGTGGATAAAAGTGTTTTTTTACCTTTGATTCCCCCCCTTAAAAAAACTACACTTGGATTCATGAGGACTTTTGAGGGATGATTTATAATCGTAAAAAGAAGCTCTGGTAAAAAATTCAGCCAGGTAGGACTTTTTCAGCAGTGACAGTCTAATAGTCCTGAACTATACAGCGAGCGCGTAAGCAGCTCGGGTTGTATACGCGCTCTACGTGCTGAGAGCATCTGCTGCTGTGCGTGCGCGTAAAATCCACTAGCATAACAAATATGAGCCAGAGTAATTCTGTACTCTCTCTATACAATATTATAAGCTATGAGATGTGCTGGAGTGTGAGACACAGAGCCGGGAAAGATAAATCAATATTCTATTGAAGAATTGTATATATATATATATGTATATATATATACTCAGTGATATTAGCGATTACATTCTCATGAAATTTTGTTGAAGTAATAAAAAAAATAATGTGCTGGGCAACCTCTCAGCTGAATACACTCCTGTATACATCTATTCATCGACAAAATGATGGAGCTAGGGTTGTATAGAACAGCTAGCTAGCACTGCTCTACATCTGCCGCTTAAATAGACTGAGGCAGAATGTAATAAAAATTCGAGTATACTCCCTGCAGCTCTTCAGCAAGACTATCACATCGCGCTGGATATTATATATTTCCAGATTCCAGGGCAGTAAGCTATTAGTTATGTATGTTCATGATAAAGTAAGCACCAAAGAGCTACTATAGGCGTTGACTGCACCAACACTGCAGTAGGGTAACAAATGTCAATTTTGGAACTGTTGTCATTTTGCAACCACTCGTGTAGAGAGTTTGAGTCAATGACGGACACTTGCTCTAAAAGCTGACGCCGATAACATTAGAACCAAATAAATAACAGCCTGAAATCTTAAAGACTGATCACATCAGAAGGTAACTGTTTCTTTGGCAAAGTTCAAAATGTTCACATTCTATCTTGATGAATCTGATACAGAAGCTAAACTAACCTCAAGGTATTATCACGGAATTACTTCATATCGAAACCTGGTGAGTAAATACGAAAAGGTCACTGGTATAAAACCGATAGGTATCGCTTCTGCAAACTTCCAATCGGATAAAACTTTGATATCACCCTGAAGTTTTCCCAGATTTAACACTCCTTAAAAACTGGAGTCGCATAATAAAGTTTCGGAAACATAATTGACTTGTTAAAGCTCTATCCCTCGTCTTCATCGCTTATGCTGAAAGGCTGGATGTAGGTTGCGCCTTGATAAAAAAAGACTGTTCGTATACCGGTTTCTTTTATTTTATTGTCGCCTAACCAAACTGCAAACGAAATAATGCAAATAGTTAAAAAAGTTTTACAAAGAACAATATCCTGACAGTTGATTCTTAGGCGACTACTCACTCTCAATATTTTTCTAGATATAATGTTTAAAACATGATTAGATTAATAGGCATGATACATACATAAAACGTATATGAATCGTCAGGATATGTCAGTAGGTACCGTTGAAATTTGTTAAATTTTCGCATGAACAGTTGTAATGCCGGAAATTTAAAGTCGATTGATTAAGATAGACTGATCGATAAGACCCAATCACTCAACGGAAAAAATACCAGATACGAGTAATAAATCTGGCGACCTATATTTGTGATTTTAGCAGTGTGCCCCTGCTTAAATGATTTTTGTAAATTTTTTAGCGATACGTCTGGACCTGCGAAATTTCAGCAAATATCAGCACAATCGGTCCAAAACTACGATTTTTATGCGAAAGATAGATGCTAAAAAAATGACACTATTTTGCAAACCAAGCATACACCAGACGCCTCTTCGTTGGAACTTTTCTTCTTAAGATCACCCAAGGAATAGTTTCCTCAATGTTTAGCATATGCTTTATTAACACCCTGTATTGCTGCAAATTTAAAACTCTTGTACCTTTATCCGAATCCAATTCGTTTTCAAAATCAAAACCATAAGTATATATTTTCGAGGAGATAGTGATCACGTTTTGTAACGATTTTACCGATACAGTGTTTTGACAGTTAATTATCTATATTATAGTTGAAAACGCAACTTGTAAGCTGGATACCAAGAACAATGTTCCCACTGTCATAATAGTAATTTGGTGATAAAGTTTCTTACGAGTTGTAGCAGGCTAAAGGATGATCACACATGCGATATACAAACGAGAAACTGAGAACAGTGCATTTTAAATACTCGGATATATTCAACTGAAATGAAGAAGTGTCGCAATCTTGAAAAAAAATGGCGGCAAGTAGGATGTCCCTGCACTTCTTACGCAACGCTGTGATTAGTTGAAGTTGACTGAAAACATATATAACAAAGAAATTCAATGGGTCAAATCAGTCAGATAGAGCCATAGTCCGACTTGAAAAAATATACCAACCCCAAATAAGTAAGATATACCCTCCTCCACCCCCTGCAACCTTCCACTTCCCATGTTTTACCCCTCAAATAAGTCTATAAAAATGAGCCACGGTTCTCTAAAATGCCAAATGCGAGCGATATATATTTTTTTGTTTTTACCTGTTGCTCCTCCGCCAATGAACCAATCTAGAAAACCTATACGTCTCTTTCCGAGTGGTACTTCCCTCGTTTAAAGGGGTCGAAGACTGACGGACAAATATGAGTGACATGGTTTTTCGTGATGTATCATAATAATAATAATATTTATTCACTCAATGTACAAAGATAACAAACATGTAATGTATATGAGTAAATAAATATAAAATCAAAACAGGCCCAATAGAAGGCATCCCCTGTACATGGACCAATAATTTAAGTTGAAACTGTAGAATGCAAATGACAAAAAAGGACAAAAATTAGCTACAGTAGATTATGTATTTAGTTGATGTTTGTATTTATGAGTTTATGAATTTCAATCCTAGATATAGAATGTAGCCACTTTTTTAAATTTCTTTTGAAACAATTTCCGAAACGTAAATCTTTTAAGTCTTTAGGTATAATTTCATAAAATTTACGAGCTAAATAGAGATATGATCGCTGCATTATAGATTTATGCGGTTGAGGAACTACTTTGCCACGAATTTTGTACCTGGTATAATTGTTTAATTTTTTGGTCGGTGTTTACAAATTTATGGTAGTGAGTGATACTGTGTAAGAAATAAAGCTGTCTTATATCATACATTCGAACATCTGCGTATAATTTTTCAGTGGGATAAAGTTTCGGTTTTTTAAATATCATTTTTAGAATACTTTTTTGAAAAACATCTAAATTATAGATATGTGAGGAACATGCAGCTCCCCATGCTAATATACCATATGTGAGATGAGGCTCAATCAGTGCATGGTATAATGTTCGAAGATATTTTTCTGTCAATATATTCCCAAGGTATTTAATTTTGTAGGATACAAATCTAACTTTCTTTAAAATATAATTGACATGGATGTCCCATCGTAAGTGAGGATCCAAGACCACTCCAAGGTATTTTATGTTAAAGTTATACATAAAATAAAATCAAATTCTAGTGGTTCAGATGGAATAACTTTGCATATGATACTACTATGTATACCTGAAATTGATGTGTACATAACACATATTAGCAACTGCTGTCTAGAGAGAGGATATTTCCCCAATCAGTGGAAACTCGCTATAGTTGTTCCGCTACCTAAGTTCTGATCCTACTAACTATGGTCAACTGAGACCGATCAGTCTACTGCCAATTTTTTCTAAAGTTTCGGAACGCGTTGTTTACGAGCAGCTCTGCGCCTACTTATATTCTAACAAAATTATTCCATCTAAACAATCTGGGTTTCGACAAGGTCATAATATAGCTTCGGCACTCTGTGATTTAACAGACAATATAACAATAGCACTTGATAACCAAAAAGCGGTAGCTCTCATACTTCTTGACTTTACTAAAGCATTTGACGCCATTAATCACTCACTTCTTGTGTCTAAATGCAACTATTATGGATTTTCTGAAAACATTCTTTCGTTTATTCTAACCTACCTTGAACTCTACCGAACAAAAAAATTGTTCTGGTGTACCACAGAGATCAGTCTCAGGACCCCTATTACTTTCATTATATATCTCAGATTTAGAAACAGGTAAAATTATGCAGCATACAATTTTTTGCAGACGATACTCAAATTTTCTATTCATTTAGGACTGGGAAACAACAAATAAAATAAATCAAGATCTTGCTCAAATTGAAAAGTTCAGTAGTAGTCATAATCTTCGTTTGAACCCTTTGAAGACAAATATTTTTGTATACGCAAATAGAACAAAAAAGAATACTTTAAAAAAGGACATAGATATACATTTAAAAGGTAATAAATTAGTTTCTGGGGATCATTCGAAGAACCTAGGTATTATAATGGATGATGACTTAAAATTTGTTGTACACGTAAACTATCTAATTTCTCAGTGCTACGCTATTCTCAAAGTTTTATTTGCAAATAAATATATATACATAAATCTGCGCGAAGGCAATTGTGTGAATCTTTCTTGTTTTTAAAGATATCGTATTGCTTAGTGGTTTACTATCCCTATTTAGGTATTATAACAAGAAATCGTATTCAAAGTATTATGTACATGTTTCAGACTGTAAATGGTCTCAGAAAGTATCATCATATATCGAATGCCATTAATGAACTCAAATGGATGAAAATTGATAAAATGTATAAGTAAGTACCAGCTCCTAAATCTGACTCATAAGGTTCTTTATTCAAAAAGACCGTCATACTTAGCAAACAAATTCATACGTAGAGGGAATATGTATGGTATTAATATTAGATATAGAGAAACATTCTCAATTCCACGCCACAGCACATCTCTATTTCAGAATACATATATTTACAATGGGATCAAATGATATAATTATTTAGACCGCAGTTTAAAAGAAACCAATCCATTAATCAAATTCAAGAAAAAAGTGAAAGAAGTTCTACTTGATCAGCAGCTAAATCTGTTGTAACCCATGTGTCCTCATATTTTCCTTATGCCTTTACTTAGATTATACTTTATTCTGTCGTTATTGTATACAGGTACTAATTTTCAAAAAATTCTGTTTTTTTTTACATCTCGTATTGTTAAGGGGGTTAGATGGTAGAACAGATATATTATCTAAATCTCGCACCTGTAAGAATATTACAAATAAAAGACGTTAATTATTATTATTATTATTATTATTATTATTATTATTATTATTATTATTATTATTATAGGTACCCCCTGTTAGAGCATCTTAGTAGGAAAACATAAACTTCATGGATAATTAGGGCAACCTGTTACATCCTCAAGTAGGTAGTTTAGCTTGCATAAGCTCTAGGACAATGCAAGTCACCAAATTGCTATATAATTACAAAGCACTGATGGATATATTTGTTGTATTTCATCTGTTATATTTACCCAATCTATCAGAACTCAGAACACAAAACCTATAATGGAGGAATAATGATACATAAACAGACAATATGTTAGTGTAAATATAGATAATATTCCATATCAGCTATGCATTATTGTCTGATAAAGGATTAATTCACAAAGGTAATTCATCACATATGTCTTCATTGGATCTATGTACATAATAGGCACACACAACATCCATGGCTTGCCACGATGAAGGATGGGGTGTGAACGAAGATGTGACCTTTCTATTTTATGTGGGCCTTTTGTTGTATCATTTTCCGCAAAAAATAAAGCCGCGGGCTTGAAAACCGTAACAAATTATTCATTAAAAGCTTAAACTATCAAACATGGGACATATGTATATATATATATATCCTACTGTTTGTTATTTATATATATATATATATATGCATATGGGATAACTACAATTTCGGAAACCTTCTCTTTTGGAAGAATAGGTGTGAATTCTCATTCAGGTTCTTCTATCACCTACAAACCATCTTGTTCATGGTATTGACACATATCAGGCATCTCTCAATTCACATAAAAAATATATACGTGTCAACCATATATGCACGTATCCATTAGAGATACACAGATCGGACATGAACGAATGAGAGCGGCAATATGATGAAACGTATACCTCGTGACATCTATTTTACAAGCTTGTATGTGCTTTCATCCGACCTTATATGAATGCGTTCAAATCCTGCAGATTAAGTTTGATCAACTTTATAGTGCACGATTGAGCTAAGATTTGGCACTCACATTTAGTACACGTGACAATTCATCCTTACTTAAATGATGCAGTATTTAATCCAATATTGCGGAAGTTGCAAAATAGCGACTTTTTCCTCAGTCACTCCTATGATATGGGTAACACATGAAATCGGTTGATGTCGTCATCCTAAATCCAATATACCGAATATCTAATATGACAGCTCGATATTATGCTGACATGTAGTTGATCTGATGACGGAACCGGAAGGTGGGCATGGGAACTCTAGTAAACTGACACAATTCCGAGTCAAGACATTGTCAAGTACTCTGGTCCTAGGCTATGATGATGATTATTATACTCGTATAAAATGAATCATCAATATATAGATATATAAATATTATATTAAATTAATACCTATATACAGGGTGGCCAAACACGTGACGTCATAAAAAAAAATTAGATTCCCCACATCGAGAGGAACCCAAATCACCCCCATATATATGGTCCGATTTTGTTTAGTTTAGGAGTTATGATTTTTTTTCGGATTTTTCGAGAATTTTTGAGTTCTGTGTTTATTTTTACCATAACTTCGTTAATAATTGTGATATGCCTGCTTTTTTCACGATTATGTAGCTAAGACCTAAGGCTTAACTATCATATAATCATTCAAGTCATGTAACTAATACTACTTTTTAATTTTTTTCAAAATCTTCGAACATAACAAAAAAGTAAAAAAGTGCAACAACTTTGAACGTTTATAAAAAATTGAAAAAACATGTTCTTACTATTCGTAAGTATCTTAAAAACTTCCTTACGGTATCAGCTATTTACCGTAAAAATTTCATCAACCTAGCTTTACTACATGCTACCGTAATTGTGGCTCAAATAGAACCGAACCCAAAATTGGATAACCCTCTGCTCAATAGAAATTGTTAGTTTCGGAAAAAAAATTTGCAAAAACCACAAAAACACGTTTGATTTTTACTGAACAGCAGATTATTATTCATTTATGTTATTTACAAGAGGTTTTCAAAATGTCTGCCTCTAACAGAAATGCACAGTGTACACCTACGTATGAAATTTTGTTTTAAATCTCTAAATGCTTGTGTGTTGTTTTTCAACACATGTGTCGCTTCTTGAATTTTGTTCCTCAATGAATTTTCATTTGCACATTCTTGGGCGAATGTTATGTCTTTAAAATATCCCCAAACAAAAAAATCAATGGGGTTGAGGTCAGGGGAGCGTGGAGGCCATCGTATCGGTCCGTTTCGTCCGATCCATCTGTCTGGGAACCTTTCGTTTAAGTAGTTTCGCACGATCGTTGCGTTGTGGCATGGTGCACCATCATTCCAGGACGAGGAAGCAATGAAGGATATCCTACAGCTGATCCGGATCGCAGAGAAGTAGTACTTGAAGAAATTAGCCGGAATCCCTCAACGAGTACGAGATCTATGGCACAAAACCTTAGAATACCACGAACATCGATACAAAATATTCTTCATGAAGAAGGTTGTCATGCCTATCATGTTCAAAGAGTTCAAGCGTTGATGCCTTCAGATTACCAGTTAAGAGTGGATTTCTGCGAGACAATGCTGCGAAGACAACGAGAGGATCGCGATTTATTTGATAAAATTTTATGGACTGACGAGTCACGTTTTGAAAGAACAGGGATATTCAATATCCATAATTTACATACTTGGGCTGTTGAAAACCCCCACCAGTCAAGGCCGTCGACATTTCAACACCGTTTTAGTGTGAACATGTGGTCAGGAATATTCAATATGGAATTTATCGGTCCATTTGAACTGCCGTCAAGGTTGGATTCGGTAGCCTACAAAAGCTTCCTTGAAAATAGCCTACCATTATTGCTGGAAGATTCAAGCCTGGAAGCCAGACGGAACATGGTGTTCCAGAATGATGGTGCACCATGCCACAACGCAACGATCGTGCGAAACTACTTAAACGAAAGGTTCCCAGACAGATGGATCGGACGAAACGGACCGATACGATGGCCTCCACGCTCCCCTGACCTCAACCCCATTGATTTTTTTGTTTGGGGATATTTTAAAGACATAACATTCGCCCAAGAATGTGCAAATGAAAATTCATTGAGGAACAAAATTCAAGAAGCGACACATGTGTTGAAAAACAACACACAAGCATTTAGAGATTTAAAACAAAATTTCATACGTAGGTGTACACTGTGCATTTCTGTTAGAGGCAGACATTTTGAAAACCTCTTGTAAATAACATAAATGAATAATAATCTGCTGTTCAGTAAAAATCAAACGTGTTTTTGTGGTTTTTGCAAATTTTTTTTCCGAAACTAACAATTTCTATTGAGCAGAGGGTTATCCAATTTTGGGTTCGGTTCTATTTGAGCCACAATTACGGTAGCATGTAGTAAAGCTAGGTTGATGAAATTTTTACGGTAAATAGCTGATACCGTAAGGAAGTTTTTAAGATAGTTACGAATAGTAAGAACATGTTTTTTCAATTTTTTATAAACGTTCAAAGTTGTTGCACTTTTTTACTTTTTGTTATGTTCGAAGATTTTGGAAAAAATTAAAAAGTAGTATTAGTTACATGACTTGAATGATTATATGATAGTTAAGCCTTGGGTCTTAGCTACATAATCGTGAAAAAAGCAGGCATTTATCACAATTATTAACGAAGTTATGGTAAAAATAAACACAGAACTCAAAAATTCTCGAAAAATCCGAAAAAAAATCATAACTCCTAAACTAAACAAAATCGGACCATATATATGGGGATGATTTGGGTTCCTCTCGATGTGGAGAATCTAATTTTTTTTTTATGACGTCACGTGTTTGGCCACCCTGTATAATGGCCATATCAAATTCTGTTCTTTTCGAGCAACTGTACAATCACACTTTTATCAGTGGGGTACGTCTCCTGTATTTACCTAATATATGGCTAATACGAGGGGCACGCTGTATATTTTGAGACGCGCATTCTATACACTAGTTAAAACCGGTAACAGTGCACTATTAGAAAGAGCAGTTCAGCACGCGGTGTAAACAAATTTAAGAGGAAAGATGGAGTGGTCTCGAGGGAGTTATCGCGCTATAATTTACCATGAGCTTAAAGTCGGTTTAACTCAACATCAATGAATCGAATGGTTACAACAGGCATTTGGTAATGAAGCTCCGTCCCGGGCAAGTATGTTTCGCTGGTATGCCGGATTTAAAAGAGGGCGTGCTTCATTGGCTGATGAAGAACGTAGTGGTAGGCCATGTTCTAGTGTTACTCCAGAAAACATTGCTAAAGTTCAGCGGCTAATAATTGAAGAAGATTTTCGCTGCACATATGCAACTATAGAAGCAACTCTTGGACTAGGATCCGTAACAGTGCACACCATTTTGCATGATCATCTTCTTTCAAAAAAAGTTGTTGCAGAGGTACAATCCTGCATCACTATAATGCCTCTAGCCGCACTGCCCAACTAACTGTAGACGTTTTACGTCAGCGCCACATCAAAATGCTAGAAAATCCGTCTCATTCGCCAGATCTGGCAACGTCTGACTTCCGGCTCTTCAATAATTCGTAAAAAAATATGCGTGGTCGAAAATGTTCGTCCGAAGAGGAAATCGATCAAGCAATTAATTAGTTTGTTGAAGACATTCCAAAAACTGACTGGTTAGAAGCATGTCATTTGAGGTTACAGAAGTGCAATGGTGCTGTAGGAGAATACTTTAAACATAAATAAAGTAGCTTTCCTGTATCACAATATATATAGCGTGGCCCTCGTATCTTTATACTCGTATCTATCGAAATCTCTTGAGAAAAAGTAAGGTGTTTCATAAATTCTATATGATAAAATATATGTAGATAAATAGAAATTAACTATTTGGTGAACATCATAGATACTAAAAAGTAAAAAGCAAGCTTTTATAAGCTGAATGTCATTCCGCCTTCCTTTCGAGCGATCGAATAATAGAGTCTTAGATTTTAATAGTAAAAGCGAAAAAGGGTGTTACGTTTCCATTAGAAAACCTTACCACCTTTTAGAGCAGTGTTTCTCAAAGTGGACGATACCACTGTGGACCTACGAGGGGCGATAAACACGTAATGCAATTTGCAATTGTCGTTACCACCCCACCCTCCGCTGATCAAAATTGTCATAAGGGCATTCGTTCTCAGAAGCACTGGGCAAGCAGCAGACGATGAAGTATTTTCAATCGGTGAAATCATTTTCAACTGCTTAGTTCTATTTTTAGTAACTAATTTTTTTTAATTTTTTTCCTCATTTATTTGTGGCGTCTTGAATTATTTACTGCAGCACGATATTCGCTTTTGCGCGAACTTCCCACCTCAGAAATAGCCGCCGTGGGGCGGCGTTACAGTAGTCTTTTTACCGGAAGGAAACAATCTGTTGAGAATTTGCAATCTAGTAAAGCGGTTCCATTAGAGGTTATCAAGACGAGAAATTGGCAGTGCGGCAGCTTTCCCCGGCTTCCCTCCAAACGCAGTTTCACCAGAATCTAATTATCCCTACCAACGGGGAAGCACTCTGTATTTATTTTCAGCGACAAATTAAACTCCATTGAAGGTCAACTCCAATCAGTAATGCTGAAAGGTAAAAAAATTGAAACAAGTTAATCGAATTTAAACAAAGCTGATTGAGGGACAAACCGAATGACCACAGTCTTTGAAACTAGTTTGTCTTCCGCGTTTGGGACGAGTCTAAAT